TACCTTCTGGAGAAGGTCCAGAAGTCTCAGCCTCTGGAGTAGAGGACTTCAGTGGATTACCTTCTGGAGAAGGTCCAGAAGTCTCAGCCTCTGGAGTAGGGGACCTCAGTGGACTTCCTTCTGGAGGAGAAGGAATAGAGACCTCTACCTCTGGTGTAGGGGACCTCAGCAGGTTGCCTTCTGGAGAAGCTTCTGCCTCCGGAGTAGGGGACCTCAGTGGGATACCTTCTGGAGAAGTTCCAGAAGCCTCTGCTTCTGGAGTAGGGGACCTCAGTGGACTTCCTTCTGGAAGAGAAGGTCTAGAGACTTCTGCCTCTGGTGTAGGGGACCTCAGCGGGCTGTCTTCTGGAGAAGGCCCAGAAGCCTCTGCCTCTGGAATAGGGGACCTCAGTGGACTTCCTTCTGGAAGAGAAGGTCTAGAGACCTCTGCTTCTGGAGTAGAGGATCTCAGTGGATTGCCTTTAGAAGGGGAGGGTCTAGAGACCTCTGTTTCTGGAACTGAGGATCTCAGCGGGTTACCCTCTGGAAAAGAAGACTCAATTGGTTCAGCTTCTGGAGCCTTGGACTTTGGCAGAATACCTTCTGGAACTGTGGGAAGTGGGCAAGCTCCAGAAGCAAGTGGCCTTCCTTCAGGGTTTAGTGGTGAATATTCAGGGATGGACCTTGGAAGTGGCCCATCCTCTGGTCTACCTGACTTTAGTGGACTTCCCTCTGGATTCCCAACTGTCTCCCTAGTGGATACTACCTTGGTGGAAGTGGTCACAGCTACCAGTGCAAGTGAACTGGAAGGGAGGGGAACTATTGGCATCAGCGGTGCTGGAGAAACGTCAGGACTGCCCTTCAGTGAGCTGGACATTAGTGGGGCAGTTAGTGGCCTCCCTTCAGGAGCTGAACTCAGTGGCCAAGCATCTGGGTCTCCTGATATCAGTGGGGAAACATCTGGATTCTTTGGTGTCAGTGGACAGCCATCAGGGTTTCCTGACATCAGTGGGGGAACATCTGGGCTTTTTGAGGTCAGTGGACAGCCATCAGGGTTTTCTGGGGAAACATCTGGAGTGACCGAGCTTAGTGGACTGCCCTCTGGACAACCGGATGTCAGTGGAGAAGCCTCTGGAGTTCTTTCTGGCAGTGGCCCACCATTTGGCATAACCGACCTCAGTGGAGAAGAATCCGGGATCCCTGATATCAGTGGGCAGCCATCAGGGTTGCCAGAGTTCAGTGAGACAACTTCTGAAGTCCCTGGCCTGGTTCTCGGGACCACGAGTGGCAGTGGCGAGTCTTCTGGAATTACATTTGTGGACACCAGTTTGGTTGAAGTGACCCCAACTATGTTTAAAGAAGAAGAAGGTTTAGGGTCTGTGGAAGTCAGTGGACTCCCTTCAGGGGAGGCAGATGTCTCGGGCATATCTGGGATCGTGGATGTCAGTGGCCAATCTTCTGGAGCAATTGACTCTAGCGGGTTGACATCCCAGCCTCCAGAATTCAGTGGCCTACCAAGTGGAGTAGCGGAAGTCAGTGGAGAATCCTCTGGAGCAGAGACTGGGAGCAGCCCGCCCTCGGGAGCCTATGACAGCAGTGGACTCCCATCGGGGCTCCCCACTGTGTCTCTTGTAGACAGAACTTTGGTGGAATCCATCACCCAGGCTCCGACAGCCCAGGAAGCAGTAGAAGGGCCTTCGGGCATTTTGGAACTCAGCGGGGCCCATTCTGGAGCCCCAGATGTGTCTGGAGACCACTCGGGGGTTTTGGACCTAAGCGGGCTGCAGTCCGGGCTGCTGGAGCCCAGTGGAGAGCCGTCGAGTACTCCGTATTTTAGCGGGGACCTTTCTGGCACCGTGGATGTAAGTGGAGATTCCTCTGCATCCACAAGCACCAGTGGGGAGGCTTCGGGGCTTCCAGAAGTTACTTTAATCACTTCAGAGTTCGTGGAGGGTGTCACCGAACCAACTGTTTCCCAGGAACTTGCCCAAAGACCCCCTGTGACACATACCCCCCAGCTGTTTGAGTCCAGTGGAGAAGCCTCTGCGTCTGGGGAAGTTAGTGGAGCTACACCAACGTTCCCCGGGGCTGGACTAGAAGCGTCATCAGTCCCGGAATCCAGCAGGGAGACGTCTGTCTTTCCTGAGGCTGGGGTGGGGACGTCTGCCACCCCTGAGGCCAGCGGACGAGCTTCCGGGGCGCCTGAGGTAGGTGAAGCCACCTCCGCCTTCCCTGAAGCGGATGTGGAGGGGGCCTCAGGCCTGGGAGTGAGCAGCAGTGCCTCTGCCTTTCCTGAAGGCCCCAGGGAGGGCTCGGCCACCCCGGAAGTACAAGAGGAGACAACCAGCACCTATGCTGTGGGCACAGAGGCGTCAGGCTGGCCTTCGGCCACTCCAATGACATCTGGAGACAGGACTGAAGTCAGCGGAGACCTGTCCGGTCCCACATCGGGGCTGGATGTTGTCATGAGCCCCAGCGTCCCAGAGTCCGAGTGGATCCAGCAGACCCAGCGCCCTGCAGAGGCACCTCTAGAAATTGAGTCCTCAAGCCCCTTGCACTCAGGAGAAGAGACCCAAACCGCCGAAACAGCCACCTTCCCCACGGATGTTTCCATCCCCACTTCTCCACGAGGGACAGATGAATCAGCACCAACCATTCCAGGTATAGTTGGGATTTTTTTTTTCTCCTTTCAGTGTGTTCGGGGAGTTCAGACTGTAGTGTAGTGAGAGGCAGCATCAACTCACGCTCCTCTACAGGCCAGCTGTGTAGCCTCAGGCAAGTTTCTTAATCTCTCTGAGCCTTATCTGAAAGATGGGAAGAGTACCAGGGACCAGCAATCAGGATATAAATATATATCGAACAGGCACTTAGCATCTAAGTTCCCACCCGTCCACACTTAGTGACTCGTGCTTGCTCGGGTTGCAGTGGAGTTACGTCCCAAGAGCAATTATACGTGAGTCCAACTGTCTGTGCTTGGCATAGGTAGAGAGAAGGGGGACTCTTCAGATAGTGCTAGAAATTCTACTCACTCCCCTTTCCCATGGAGTTCGTGTGAGAGGAGAGAATGAATTTGATGACATCTATGCCCAGATATTAACCTCACGTAGGGTTAAGACCTGCATGATGTAAAGACCTGAAGCATCATGTTGGCTGTCCTGACTTTGGTCCCCACCCTCACCCCAGCACAGGTACCTTCTCCGTACCAGGGTCTCTCTTTGACACAACCCAGGCACCGGGCACAGGAGGCTGATATTTTCCTTTGCTTTTTGCCTGGGGCTCCCTTGTCCCTCCTTCTGGGCCAAGAGACCTCTCCCAGTCAGAGAGCCCCCAACCCGAGATGCTGGGGCCAGGTCCCCAGAGTCCCCAGAAACATGCTGACCCAGAGCCAGCCTCATGGGCTTCAGGGACTTTGTGCCCCAACCTCAGAGTCTCAGAAGCGAGGCTGCACCTCCGGCAGGCAGCTGCGGTCTCGCTGCTCAGTGTCTCCCCGGGAGCTGCGGCCCCATCAGGTCCTGTGCCGAGGGGCCCTGTGGGAACTGCCAGGAGATGGAGGGACCCATCTCCCGCCCATGCCCCCCCACCCCGGCCACATTGGCAAGCATTGCAACATAGCTAAGCCCCTCGTCAGCCGTGGGGGGGACAGGCAGGGGAAGAAGGGGCACCCCTTTATTCCCCAGAAGGGGCTGCAGGCAGGAGGAGGTGACCAAGGCCCGCGGAGGCTCAGGCTTCCCAGACCAGGAAGGAGAGGGGCACAGTGACACCATAGGGTAGACGCCGCAGGGTAAACATGGCACGTCTCTCTAGAGAGTCAGTCTACGTGGCACTTTCGGGAAAAAAAGTTCAAGTAATTAAACCGGGAAATAGTTCCTTTTTTTGTTAAGCCAATGATTGTTTTATGAGTCAAATGCCAAATATGCTTGAATTTTGAAGACAAAATCCATGACTCTCAGGAAGTGTGGAGCTAGGACGTCAGTGGGGTCGAGCCAGTCATGCCTCCTGGGCCCCGGGACGGAAGCTCCGAGGGGGCTGCCTTGCACTGTCAGAGCCTTCCTCTGCAGGAAAGCCCCTACTCGCCCCTCCATGCTCAGACCTGGGTGGGGTTTGGGTCCCCTTCTTGACTTGAAGGAAATGACGGGCACTGCCTACCACCGCCAGCTGCTGGGGAACTTGACCTAGCTGCGCCTGGCCCCTCGGCCCCCTGGCCCCCACTGCCCTGGGGCCTCTGTCATTCTTCATGGGTCAAGCAGCCTGCGGGGCAGGTGAGGAGCCTGGGGCAGGGGTCCTCTGATTGGAGGTGGCGCCCCAGAAGGAGACGATGAGGATCTGCCCGTGTTCCCTGAACACATCGAGGCCTGTGGCCATGAGGATGTTTCCTCTTGTCCCATCAGCACCCTTAAGGGAACAGATGCCCGGTACCTCCAAGCCCGTATTCTCAGGGTAGGTGTCTGCACTGCCACCGCGCCCTTACCCCCGCCTCTGCTCCAGAGTCTTTCCTAGAAGGGCTTCATTCTTCTGACACAGGCAGAATCAGAGCCATGAATCCTGGGGGAAAGCAGATCCCATGAGACAACCAGGGCCGGGCAGCTATCTCCTAATAGTCATTCCATCATATGCAAAGAAAGATTTTGTGTTTGCATATATTTATGTATATGCAAATTAATACCTCGTAATATATTGCTCCCATCACGTAAATATGCTGTATACTTGGCCCTTACACTGGAAAGAGTCCGTGTAAGCAGGTCCTAGGGTGACTACGGATTCACTCTTTCCTTCACTGGGGTCGATCTCTGGCCGCATGGTGGAGCCATGAGTAAGAGCACTGTGGGCTTCTGTGGCCAGAGGGTGGGCTCTCCTTGGGCAGTCAGCCTTACCACCTAGGGGATAGTGTCACGGGGCCACGGTGACCCCTGGGACTCCAGCCGCATCCCTCCATCATCCACCCTGATGGGAGGGCAGAGCCCGTCCTCCCTCTGGATATGGCTGGTGGAGAGCAGCAGGGGCGCCTGACCTGGGTGACATGTTCATGGACACAGCCTAAGTCAGAGAGGAACAGACTCAGGACCCGGCAGGACTTCCGGGACAGCTGCCAGGACCAGAAACCCCTTGCCCTGGTGTTTATACCTCCTGACACCTGTCTCCCTTTTAGCAAGTCCTTTCTCTGACCATGTGTACCCCCACAGGGCTTTCTGCCCCGACGATTCCTTCCCAGACAGCTCTGTGGGTAGCTTGACAGTTATCCCCATCTGAAACACAGCTCCTCCAAGGGAGTCAAATCCAGAACTGGGGTCTTCACTCACTTGTTTCACACGTTCCGCTAAGTAAGAAGCCCTCTCTCGAACACAAGAATCAGCCGCTAGTCTGCACTTGGGAGATGAACTTCAGAGCCGCTAGAATGGAGAGAGGTTTAGAAGTGGGGCTTGGCCAGCCCTCAGGACCTCATTTGTAATAGGCTCAAAGTAGTGGTTCTCAGTTTTAAGAACCTCCTGATGCCTGGGGTCCCACTCCCCCCGATTCTGATTGAAACGGTCCTGTGGCCTTGGCATTGGCGTTTTTAAGTCTGCCCCGGTGACTCCAGCGCGCAGCCAGGGCTGAGGATTAAGAACACCTGTATGCAGCGTCTGGGACCCCCAAGAGGCATCTATAAAGATTGCTTCCCCTTCCCTGTCTCTCACGCCACTGGTTAGGAAAAACTTTATCATCTCTAAAGAGCAGGTGGTAAGGATGCTTCCAGAAGGCCTGCAGATAGCGTCCCGCCTCTGCAGGTGACCCACCGTGGTCTTGAGCTAGAACCCGCAAGCACAGGCTATTGTCTTTCAATAGTTCGGTGTTCTCCAGACCCCAGAAGCAGCAAAAATGTCGCATTATTCCTGTGGCAGTATTTGAATACTCGGGGTAACCTTCCACCTAGTAAATGAGGCTGGAGGCTGTTATGTAGCCCTTAAGAGAAAATACGTGACAATTTGTCACCGTCTTGCTAAGTCAGCATTCCATAAACAAGTTCTTGATAAATGAGTCATCTGCACTCTTGACGTCGAAATGAACATGTTTAGTGAATACTCAGATTTCCTGGCGATTGAAGAAGTAGAGCTACCTCCCCCATTCTGATCCACTTAAAAAGCAGCAACCTCACCTCCCCCCCAATCTCTGTTGCTGACATTTGTTGAGATTTCTGGCCCCAGCAGAACTGGTCTGAAGAGGGCTTCTGGCATTGGTGGTAGTTTAAAAGATCTTTTAAAAATTTTTGTTAACTACCGCAGTAGATTCTGTTTTGCTAAGGTTGAGACATTCTGTTCTAATCAGATCTCAACATCCAATTTTCCAGCAATCACTGGTGCTGGGTGGATTTCTCTAAATTCCTGGGTTAGAAGGGCATGACCTCAGAATTCAGTCAGCCTCTTTTCCGTCTTACTGACATTCTTCATTTTGTAGGCTTGAGGCTCTGATCTATGATCTGACATTGTCTCTTCCCCTGGAGCAGGGAGGTTGGAATTTCAGTGAAATCTTAGCCTCAGAGGGAAGGGGGATGTTGTCAAAGCAAGTGAAAATACAGGGTTACAAGCGCAAATACAAATCACACCTTCATGACACGACATAACCGAAAAGTCAATGGGCAGATTTGAATAGGGACTAGTCGACCCTTGAACAGCACGGGGTATTAGGGGTGCCAGTCCCCCACAGAATTGAAAATCTGCATATGAATTCTGACTCCCCAAATACTTAACTACTAATAGTCTCCTGTTGACCGGAAGCCTTAGTAATAGCAGAAAGTCAATTAATACTTAGTTTGTATGTTATACGTAGTATTTACTGTATTTTTATAATAAAGTAAGTTGAAGACAAGAAAATGTCATTCAGAAAATCATAAAAGGGGGGCTCTTGGCTGGCTCAGTAGGTAGAACGGGTGACTTTTGATCTCAGGGTCATGAGTTCAAGCCCCGTGTTGGGCATAGAGCTTACTTAATTAAAAAAAAAAATAGAAAAAAAAATCATAAGAAAGAGAAAACACGTTTCAGTACTGTGTCGTAAAAAATCTGCGTATAAGCAGACCACACACAAACCCATGTTAGTTCAAAGGTCAACTGCGATTGAATTGAAGATGCATGATATTAAACTTACATTCAGGATCAAACTTTAAAAATATAAAAGACTTGATAGTATAATTATAGCATATTGGTTAACGTAATTATGTTTATTTAAAAGCAAATTGGAACTGACAAATATGTTCTTATAAACCTTCTGTCAATTGTGATACACAAGAAACCAAGTGTATTTACTCAGTTCTGGCCATCTGATTGATTCTAGGTGTTTGCAGGTTGTAGGACATCCACTGAGTTAAGAAATTGTCTCTGTGCTTCTTCTTCTTCTTCTTCTTCTTCTTCTTTTTTTTTTTAATTTATGACAGAGAGAGATAGCGAGAGAGGGAATACAAGCAGAGGGGAGCTGGAGAGGGAGAAGCAGGCTCCCCGCCAAGCAGGGAGCTCAATATGGGCCTTGATCGCAGGATGCTGGGATCATGACCTGAGCTGAAGGCAGAAGCTCAACAACTGAGCCACCCAGGCGCCTCATCTCTGTGCTTCTTGTGGGGATTTTCTTCCATGTTTGTCCAGGAAAGTTATGTCCAGGGTCAACACATACAGCTGCACAGGTTGTGCACTGAACAACTTGAATACCATTCATATATTCTTTATGATTGGCAACCCCTTTAGTTGGGTATCCTTTGAGTAAAAGTACCTGCTGTCTTCATTCAGCCTTTTCCTGTGAGCCAAATAAACTCTCTTGTTTGGAGGTCCTTATTTCTGACATAAGCAAAAGCCAGTCAAGGCCTATTCAGGGTGGAGGCCTGAGCTCCCCAATTCAGATGCCAAAGTGATTATTTGGAAGTATCTTATTCCCCTCCCCTTTACCGGGGGCTCTTAGTTATTGTCTCCCCTAAGTTAGGGCTGGTGCAGGAAAAAATCATCCCTTTTGGTTATAGTAGTGGGAAGAGGACTCAGAGTTCTGACCCTCCCCAGGGTCCCTGGTGAAACAATGGGGAGCTCTTGGCCTGGTGCAGCAGGAATGATAGTGAGATACTGAGATCCGAGACTTCAGTGACCCTCTCCCTTCACAGAGGACAGAGGCCCAACTTGCAGCCTGCGTGTCTGATTCTTGCCTCCGTCTCTTCCGGTCTGTCTGCCCAGCTTACCGGCATGGGCAGGCTACGTCCTTTGTTTCCTTACCTGTACTCTAGGGCATATGACATCTGCGCCCTGGGGCTGTTGGAAGGGTAAAGCATGTCGGAGCCATACCGTCTGGCTCAGAGAAGATTCATGAGAGAGATCGGTTCCTTCTCTTTTCTCTCTTCCTTCATGCAGACTGCCCGTTGCCCAAAGCCCTTTCAGTCCCCCCTCCTGCTGGCAGCCTGTCTGGGTCCCCCACCCTCTTTGTGCTCAGCCCAGCTCACCTTCTCTCATGGTTCCAGAAGACAAGCAACATCCCATTTGCCCTTCACAGAAAGAGGTATGGGCACTGCAAGGCCGGAGGGAGAGGAGATGAGGCCCGGCAGACGTGAGCAGCTCACGAGAAAGCCCCACACAGAACGCCGGGCCCCCTTCCTGCAGCAGAAGGCCTCTCTCTACTGCCCTGCGGGCACCCCCAGCCTCTGTGGTCTTCAGCATTCTGGCCCTCCTTCCCTTCTCATCTGTGAACCCTGGGCCCTGCACAAAACAGCTTCTGAACCCGGGGACAGGTTCCCTGAGTTTTGGGGACCGTCTCTCCCCTGCAACCTTCTCAGACCGGGTGCCAAAGCCAGGAGGAAAACAACAAGGTCCCCAGCCCCGGTCTCTGGGCCACCAGGGGGCAAGTTATGTGAAATAAGCTTCTGGGACAAGGGAGGCCACCTGGCCCCACCTCCCCGGGGCCTCCGCCTCCCCTGCCCCTGCCCCTCCCCCACAGTGGGGTTGCCATCCAGCTCTTCTGCCCACAGGCCACTCCTGTCCCCTGCTCTCTACAACTGCTTTAGCGCCTCCGTTTGCTTAAGCCCCCCTCGCCCGGTGCTTCCCACATCCCGTAATGACGCTAATGGACACAAGAGAACAGGGGCTCCCATTGAGTAGCCCCCAGCTTCCGCCCGGCCCACCGGCCTGACCTATTGCTGCTACTGCTGCTGCTGGGAATCCAAGTGCATGCTGGGAATCCAAGTGCATGCTGGGACTCCCGTCAGTTCCTCCATGCATTTTGGTTTTGCTTGGAACTGCTGGTGTCTAATCCGTGGCGCACGCTCCCTGAGATGAAGCAATGAACTCCGTGGGAACAGAAAGATGCCTGAGGACCCGAGATTTTCAGGCCACCTGCTCCCCAAACCTAACCGGTCCAGAAGACGTGTACTGCACACCAGCTAGTGAAAAGGATCCACAGGAACGTGCTTTTGCCTTCGTAAGAGGGGATGGACTTTAAGGTCTAATCTGCTGTCCTGAGAGGCGGGAACTAATCCTGGAAGGTGTTTAGGATGCTGATCACGTGGACACCACCTATAGACATGTCGGGTCCTGAAGGTTGTGTGAACACAGCTGCATACACCAAGGCTTAGCCTTATATCATGATGCCCCAATGGCCAGTGGCACCCACTCATTGCAGAATCTTACTGATCTGGGGAGAAGAGCTTCACAATACCTTCTGTCGTGTTCCCAGAGGAAGGTACCCAGAGAAAACCAGCAGGAGCCTTTGTAGTAGAAACACGAAGACAGTAAGAGACTCCCAGGTTTCTGGCTTCTCAGAAAGAGGCAGAAAGACCGGATTATGGGGATTCACTTCTCACCTTGGCTGATGGATGAAAAATGGAGGCCAGTGGCTTACCAATTCCAGTCCCACAAAGAAGTTGGATCAGAAAAAACATCTTGGGCCAGAAGAACAGAAGGGAGGAAGAGTCTGCCTGGAAAGAAGAGGTTGATGGGGACCTGCTCTACGCCAGGGTGGTGGCTGGCCACTTAGTAAGTGGCTCACCAGCTTCAAATCTTAGTTTCCCACTGACCAGAAAGGAACCTGTCTGAAAACTGGGACTCACTGGAGATGTCCACGTTCTAGGGCCCTAAGCTGGAAGGAACATGGGAAAATGCTGGGCTGGTTTCTCTTCCTTCCGCCAGAAAAATGATGCCAGCTTCACCTTTATAAAATAGAATCTGATTTACTGAAGACGGAGGTGTCTGCGACTCCCAAAGATGGAACGAGTCTCGGGCAGATGGCCCCTCTCGCCATTTTCTCATGGTTCTGTACTCTCCAGACCACCTCTGGCTTGTTTGTGCCTTGCCCTCTTGCCTCAGTTCCTAACTACAGAGGAAGATTGGAAAAGAAAAGCTCTAACAAGCTCCAGACACTTGGCTTCCAGTGTCCTTGCTCACCAGCGTCACGTTGCGAGCCAGCTCAGACACAAAGCCTCTCGAAATACTCACCAGAGAAGGCATCTCGGAGGAGCTGTGTGCTCAGTCTTCCAGTGGGCGTTCGCCTTCAGAAGCCCCAGATCTCTCCACCTGCAGGGAAACCTGGCTCCAGGGCTCCAGGGTTGCCAGTCAGGAATCACACACATCCAAGAAAACCCTGGTTGGATCTTTGGCTCAGCGCTCCAATATGGCGGCAGCAGCAGCAGCAACAGCTCTTAGGAAGTCCAGCCACCCTTCCCAGGGCTCTGGAGAGCAGCAGGGCTGGCCACCCCTAGGGCACCTGCGATGCTTGCCAAGCTGGAGCTGCCGGCCGGAGTCCTAATGGTGGCCCTTGGTTTCTTGCAGACATTGATGAATGCCTCTCAAGTCCTTGTCTGAATGGAGCCACCTGCGTGGACGCCATCGACTCTTTCACATGCTTATGCCTTCCCAGCTACCGAGGGGACCTGTGTGAGATTGGTACGGCCGTCTCGGCTTCAGCTAATGTTACTAACTGCCGCACCCCTCCTCCTCTATCACCCGTCCTTCTAACCACAGGCTCTCGGCCCTGGCTGGGGCCGGCACGCTCCACCCAGACAGCCATTTCGGGGGCCCCCACTGAGAAGTCTGCCTCACTCACTCCCGCTCTTCTTGCGAAGAAGAAACTCTTCTTGAAGCCCTCCTCTGGGGCATTGGCTGATCTGACCATAGGAGAGACATGCCAGCCTGTGCTCTGGAAGGTGGGGTCCCGGGGGATCGTTAAAACACTGACCTTCTTCAGGGCTTCCAGACCACTGATAGCACCTTGAGGTCGGTGCGTGCCTCAGACCAAAGAGGACAGAGCTGATCCCATGCACTCATCTGGAAGGAAGCTATGGGTCATAAGCATGTGTCGGCCTGCTCTATTGCCCGTGGGACTTCTGTGGCCCCTCCATGGCCTGGGGAGCCACCAGGCCACACTGGCCACGCTACCTCTTTCTTCTCTGGCAAGCGTTCTGTTTTGTCTGCCTGAGAGCTCTGTGTCACCAGCATGACATGCATGGGCAGGGGCTGCTGCATGTCAATTTCTTCCCATCACCAGTGACAGCTGCCGTGTCAGTGCCACTCCTGGCCCGTGCTTCCTTTTCCCTGCCCTTGTGCAAGTCAAAAGGCTGGCCAGAGAGAACAGAGCCTCGCTGCAAGGGATGGGGGCTGAGTTTCCCCTCTTGGGCCTTGCCAGCCCCTTCACTTCTGCACCTGGGCCAGGCTCGGCCAAGGAAGCCGTGTGCCAGGAACTTCTCTGAGCCTCGTCACCCCCCAACCCCCCCGCACTCCCTCACTCTGGTGCTTCTAGTCTCCCCCTGCCATGCTCCTAGGCCTCAGAGTCACCCCAACTCAGGGGGAGATGGCGCTTGTGATGACTAGTAGCAATAACTCACACAGACCTAGAAGCATGTAGGGGTTCCAGACCATTTTCTATGATCGCTCAAGTTGGATATCCCAGGAACTGCCAGAAAGCGAAAGAAACTCCTGGGAAGTGTCCCTTTGGTCCTAAGCAGTCTGGGGAGGTAGTTTGGGATTGCATTTTCCTTCCAGGCACTGCCAAGGTTACAGACTGTTGGAGGAACTTAAGGTTTCTGGAAGAAAAGGCCTGAACCCCCTTCCTTCCCTGCAGCCTCCCACCCTCCTCCTCCACCCCGAGACATGGAGAAATTAGGCATGGGGTCTTGGCTGTGGGGAAGAATGGAAGGTTATAGGATTCTCTTCCCAGGATGCCAAAATGTTTGCCACAGGGGAGGAGTGTCTGGCACATCTGCTCTTGGACGCCTTCCTAGGGAAGGAGGTGCTCTGCCCAGCGTGGAGGCAGGGCCCCCACGGGGCTGTGTGCTCTCTGGCGGGCCGCAGAGATGGTGCCGGCGTCGTCCAACTAAGCAAAGCGAGGCTCCATCTCTTCTCCCATTTCAGTCCGCCGGGTGCTTCGCGGCTTGGCTCTGGGCCCGCTGCGCCTTCCCGCCTTGCTGGAATTCCGTTTGTGCTTTCCCAGAGCCTCCATCCTGCATGCCCTGGGCCCTCCCAGAGCTGTTCCCGCCCTCCCCCCCGCCACCCCACCCCTGCCCAGGTTTGCCTGCTCAGCCCAGCTCGTTGCCCCGACAGCCCTGGAATGCCCTCTCGCCTGCTCAGGTGCCTAGCTCCCTTGGACACTTTGCCACCTTCTTTCCAGACCTTTGCCTTGCTCCTTGAAGGAGGCATGGGCTGCAGGGGACCAGTGGCCTCCTTCTCAGCCCTCCTGCTGCTCGGCCTATTCTCCTCGGGCTGCTGGCTTCCATGCGTTCTCTGTCTCGGCCTCCCGGAGTGTTTCTCTGCCTAGCATCTACCCCTTCACCTAAGCCTCCTCCCCCTCTGGTTCTGGTCCTCCCATCTCGGGTCAGCCAGACTGTGGGTCGCACCCAGTAAGGGAGGCTCCATACAGCCTGAGGGGTTCCCAGCCCTGCCCTCAGGCCCCCAGGCCCAAGGAGCACCCCTTCCCCTGGGAGGCCCCAGGGGAAGGAGGAGGAGAGGGTCTGGGAATTCCCTCTGTCCCATGGGGTACCGGCTGATGGTTAACAGCTAGCTCCTGAGGAGGAAGGGGGAGCCCTGAGGGGTAGCATCTGCCGATCTCTGAGGAATTTACAGCTTCTGACGTGGTGTCACTGAAGGCAGAGATGGGAAGACATAGTCATATGACTCTCCCAAGCCTGAGGGAGACTCTGTCCCTCCGGCCTGCTCCAAGAGCTCCAAACTAGTCCTTCTCCTGAACTCAGAACCCATTACGCATTTAGGTTTGTGAGGAGAGAAGCTCTCCCCTCTTCTCACCTGTCACCAAGAAATTAAATTAACAGGCAAGGCACCTGGGTCATGGACCCCCAGTTGGCTTCCTCGTCCTCCAAGAGGCCGGTATCCTGTGCCCAGCCAGGGCCAGCTCAGATCGACAGATGGAGAGCCCGAGTCTTCTCTAGACCCAGACTGGACTTATTTCTGCTCCTCTTTGCCACCCAAAGTGCCATTTCATGCCCCCAGCAATGCCTGCTGCTGGTCCCTTCACACGTTCCCCACAACTCCCTCCCTCCCCACTTTAACCTTGACACCTCCCAACTTCCACCCTGCGGAGCAGGGATCCCGACAGGAGAAAAGCTTGGGGGGCCGACATCAGGGAAAGATGGTGGGAACATATCCAGAGGCTCTGGGGCTCCAGGGCCGGGCCTTCCTGGCTCCCAACTCGAGCCTCGTCTCGATGGGCCTCGCCCTCAGGGACGGACCTGGAAGGCGGGGTGAATGGAGGCAGCTGGCATACGACTGGACTGGCCGCACCAGACACCCCCAGGCGGCCCCGGGGCCTCTCCCTTCAAGCCCCTGACCTGTGTTGCAGACCAGGAGCTGTGTGAGGAGGGCTGGACCAAGTTCCAGGGTCACTGTTACCGCTACTTCCCGGACCGCGAGAGCTGGGTGGATGCCGAGAGCCGGTGTCGGGCCCAACAGTCACACCTGAGCAGCATCGTCACCCCCGAGGAGCAGGAGTTTGTCAACAGTGAGTGCGGGGTGGGGAGAGGGAGCCTCCGGGCCTGCAGGGGTGGGGGGGGGGGAGGGAAGGAAGGGGGTTTCCGCCCCCGGGGCTGCGCCCTGAAGCCGCAGACTAACCTTAGGGAGTTGGTATTGCCAGTGGTGCCAGCTTGGGGGCTGGTCCAAAGCACATTCCGCATGTGCATATGCTGAGACCCGTGTCAGGGCCGTAGAAGCAGGTGGCCTGGTCCTAGGAGCCCACCCGCTTCCTGCCACTCCCCCATCCCCTCTGGCTCTGTGCGCACAAGTTCTCAGACACCCTCAGGGTGTCCAGCGCCGTGGCCAACCCTCACGCCTCTCTCTAGACAACGCCCAAGACTACCAGTGGATCGGCCTGAATGACAGGACCATCGAAGGGGACTTCCGCTGGTCAGACGGACACTCCTTGGTGAGTTCTGCCAGGGACACCGGGGAGAGTTGGCAGCCCCGAGGAGGGGAATAGAGGCACCCACTGAACCGCTGTTGGGCTGGGAGCCCTGCGGGCCGGGACTGCATCTCAGTCCTCTCTGACAGGGTGGGTCGGGGAACACTAGCATGAAGGAGGGGTGAGGCAGACGATGACGGAACGCAGGCACACCAGCAGAAGGGGGACACGGAGGCTTTTAAGGCCTTCCTTGCCCACAGAGGATTCAGTCGACTCAAGGAGGCAGGCCCACAGAAAGCGACTAGATGCCAAGGGACAGTACACAAAGTAATGCTGCAGCTCAGCAGAGGAAGTCAGGGAAGGCTTCCTGGAAGAGGTGGATGGGAACAGAGTTGGAGGGTGAGAGAAGCGGACTCCGCCCGAGGGCCAGGCCTGAGGGAGAAGCCTAGGGAGATATTCTGGACCTGGGAGCCACGTCTTCCCTGCCCAGTCCTACCCAAGCGAGGCAGCCTGTGAGGCCCGCCCCTGCTGGCCCGATGGAGGAGGAGTGGCATGGGCTCATCAGGGACAGAGAAGAAGGCGGGGGTCAGACCGAGCTCCAGCCTCAGCCTCACCCCTGCCAAACCCCCCCCCCCCCCCCCAGCAATTTGAGAACTGGCGCCCCAACCAGCCGGACAACTTCTTCGTCAGCGGAGAGGACTGCGTGGTGATGATCTGGCACGAGAAGGGGGAGTGGAACGACGTGCCCTGCAATTACCACCTGCCCTTCACGTGTAAAAAGGGCACAGGTGAGCGGCCACCCTGGAGCGGCCCAGCCTGGCTGAGGTCAGGCCCTGGGGCTCCTGCTGTGGGATCTGGGGCACATGTCCTGGCCCCCTGGGTGCTGCTGTCCCCTTAACCGCCCAGCAGGCAGACTGGCACTGGTCTGGGCGTGGGGGGCTCTCCCTGTGCCAGCGTCCCGGGGCCAGTGGCAAGAGCAGGCCCACTCCTAGGGAGGGCAAGGGTCCCAGGCTGGAGGACAGACCGGCTCCCACACACACAGCCCCCTGGGCACCTGTACAGAAAGTCACACGCGAGGACTGCCCTGGGTGGGCAGCCCAGCGCTCTTCGGAGTCCCCAGAGCTGTCAGTGGTCAGGTCCCGATCCTCTGTTCAGAGTCTGCGGACACGGTGGTACTGGTCAAACATGGCTCTCCGGTTCCTGTGCCCTGCCCAGGCCTCCTATCTGTCCCGCTATTTTCATAAAGAAGTCACAGGCCGTCTGCCTGGCTCTTGCCCCTTTTCCCACTCTTATCCCTTCCTGTTGTCCTTCCCTCGTCCCCTCGAGACCCTCCTTCTATTCCTGCCCCTGCTGCCCTAAATCACAGAGGGGCCCAGATGCTAGAACCAGTGGTTCCCAGATGCTTAGCACGGTGTGAAAACGGCCCTTTGCCAGCAGCCAGGGCTCAGGGCCATGTGTCCCTTCCTTGGGCTCTGGGCTGTCTCCTCACAGCCAGAGGGGGCTGCACCGGCTCATCATGGGCATGGGCCATCATGGGAGACCCTCTGAGAGCCCTTTCTCAAGGGTGTTTGCCCCTCAGTGGCCTGCGGCGATCCCCCCGTGGTGGAACACGCCAGGACCTTCGGGCAGAAGAAGGACCGGTATGAGATCAATTCGCTGGTTCGTTACCAGTGCACCGAGGGCTTTGTCCAGCGCCACGTGCCCACCATCCGCTGCCAGCCCAGCGGGCACTGGGAGGAGCCTCGGGTCACCTGCACAGACCGTGAGCACCGCCCCCATCCCCGACCCTGGCTGGGCACAATGTTAGATCCCGGCACCAGGTCCTCCTGCTCTCTCCCGGGGGGGCCTGAGCACCAGCTGTCTGCACTGTCCGGGGCTTCACTCCCTCACACTCACTCCCTCTGCCCTTGGGGAGGGCTCGCTCTCAAAGGAAAAAGCAGGTGGTCTGCTTTCCTTTTCAACACCGGCTCAAAGGCCCTTCGCCCAAGTTGGTGCCAAGAAAAAATCAAAACCAGAAACCGGGCGAAGCCTCAGGTTGCCTTCTTGAGCCCGTGGTTCCTGCGGGGAAGGGGAAGAGAAGAGGAGGGACCCGTGGGGAGAGGCTGGGCTGCCCCAGCTCCCTGTTGAGCAAGTGGTCAAGATTTCTGGTCTCCCTTCCACCCCAGCCTCCACATACAAGCGCAGACTACAGAAGCGGAGCCCACGGGCGCCACGGAGGAGCCGCCCCAGCACAGCCCACTGAGGGGAGCCTCCAGGACGCGCCCAGGATGCTGAGCCCAGGAGCCTCGCCAGACTGACGTCCCACACGGATGGTGTCCCCTTCTTGTCGCTTTCTGTCATATAAGGAATTCCATTAAAGAAGGAGAAAAACAAATCCCACATTGTGTATGCAACCGCCCCCCACCCCCCCCAATTGCCAAAACTGCATCTGATTCCCCCCCCAATGCCAAAGCCAAGCAAACGTATTGTAACCCGTGGACTGAGTTTAGAGACATTTCTTCAATCTCCCGTTGTGCCTTTCCAGGGACCAGTGCAGGGACAGGGGGAGAAGGGGAGGGGTTAAGTTAAATAAAGAAGATTATTTTTTGTTTCCTGACTTTATCCAAGAGCAGTGCAATCGTCCGTTCTTTCACCTCCAGGGAGAGCTAGGCGGGAGGGAGGAAGGGGCAGGAGGAGCTGGGACCGGACGGCAGCTGAATGTATTGGAGGAAGGAGAGCTGCACCCTCTGTGTGGGGGAAGAAGCCTGGGGGAGAGGGGGTGGCCTCCGCTGAAGGTGAGGGGGCAGGAGAGAGCCATGGAGGGATCTTCCGCTGCGTGGGGGTCGGGTTCCCTCCCAGGGTCCCTCTTCCAGCATCCTCTCACCCAGGTCTCCCACCCGAGCAGGTGTACATCTCTCTCGGCAGGGCTGGGTGGGGAGGGCACTTCCTTCCCAGCGGGAGCGCCGCCCCCCCCCCCCCCCCCCCCCCCCCCCCCCCCCCCCCCCCCCCCCCCGCCCCGGGACGGTGCAGGCACCAGAGTTCCGTGCACCTATTTATATTTTTGAAAACTAAAGATTATGATAAATATAATAATAAAGACATTGGAAGAGATCTCTTTCTTCTCTTTTCCCTTTTTTTAAATTTCAAGAGAAGGCAACCAGGGTCAGAGGTCGACCGAAGGGGCCCTTAGGAATGGGGGCAGTTGGGACGTGTTTCCAGCAAAAGATCCCAAATTGGGTGACTGTTGTCTGTTCACGAAGCCTGGAACAGTCACACCTGTTGCACTCTGTTACTGTGAGGGCACCTGTGCCTTTGATGGGCCGTGTGTGTGGGTGTGGGTGTGGGTGTGCGTGCACACGCATGTACTGTCAAACGCCCACCCAAATGGGACATCTGGTTACTTTGCATAGTTTGGTTCTTTGATCGCACACTGCTCCCCTAGGAGATGCTTGGTAAAGCGAGTCACGAGCAGAGGCCCATCAGGATTGAGAAGAGGGAGCAGAAGCAGCCGCAGACAGCCTGGGAACAGGGCATCTTGCCTGCACGTATCTGTGCTTAGCTCGTTGGCTGGCCACTAGCCAAAAGGTCTGGGCGTCCTGCCCTCACGGAGGCTATAGGATATCAACAAAATCGATTACAATGGCTTATGGATTCCCTCAGGAGACCTTGAGTGGAGGCAGGGGACGGTCCCCCCACGAGCCTGCTCCTTAGGAGGCCAGATGGGGGCCCCCTGCTTGGCTCAGTTGCTCAGTGGGCCCCTGCGTCGGTGTTTGGGAAGGAGTCCGGGCGCTGGTTAGTGCGTGCTGCTGTGAGTTTGCTGGTATCTTCTCGGGCGTGTGTTCGTGTGGTCGAGTATTTGTAGGTGAACGTACACACGTGTCCAGATTACCCATGAGTCTGGAAACAACGAGTGGACAGAAGTAAATGATGGTCACATAGAAGGGGTTCAGTAATTGTGTAAGTGATTAGATGATCAGTTGGGAGTACAACAACATCTGTGGTTTTCAAACCTGGATCAGAATCAAGAGCGTCTGTGATAACACAGAGTTTCTCCCGAGGCCGGTCTGGGGTGGGGTCCAGAAACTGGCATTTCTAATAATTCCCCAGGGGTGCTGCCTGGCCATGCTTTGAGAAGCACGGGCCCACATGCGGAACAGACTCCATAACCTAGTGAGAGTGGCAGACGGGTGCCTGGGCAGAGGCAGGCCTGCTTTCCTGAAGCTGGGGTGGGGGCCGGGGGAAGACGGTGAGACACAGAGAGGACTGGTCTCCAAGATCCTATTGGGGCGGGTGGTGGGGAGCACAGCCTCCCCTGTGTCCTGAGAAGCGCATCCTTCTCTTCCGGGCCCCCACTGACATGCAGCCCGGGAGTGGAGACGGTGGAAAAGCAGGCTGGAGCTCCAACAGCTGGGCCAGCGCCCAGGGCACGGAGCCACAGGGCAGGCAAACCAGAGCCACGAGGCCGGAAGGTGCAGCCCACAGAGCTCCCCGAAACAGTGCTGCCCCCCACTCTCCCTGGAAAAGGAGCTGGGTGCACACCAGGACTGAATGAGGCAGAGAGCTGGACACAGGGACAGGGGTCACAGCACCATTTACTGTCCAAAGAGAGCGCACGCCCCTGAGGACCACTCCCTGAGCAGGGGGAAAGGAGAACAAAATATAGACTTTTTGGACAGAGAAATTTCTCCCTTTCCTGGGACTTCACGTAGAAGCCTGGGGACCTGCTTCCAGTGCTAGCTCCTCAGCCATGCTGACTTGGGCCAGCAGCTCTGCAGAGGGGGAGGAAGAGGCAGGAGACCACAATGCCCAGCTCCAGGGCCCCCTGGACACCCTTGCCCTCCCCCAGGCTGAGGTGCGGGGGGCGCTGCAGCCACCACGTGTCATCGTACGCTCAGGGCAGCGCTCAGTGACGCCCTTGTGAGCCCACGAACCTCCACCGGCCTGGAGGAGAGGGGCAGAGGGCTTCCCAGAAGCGGGGAGCGTTGGGGTATCCACCAGAACAAAGGGAGGATTTGCAATGTTGGATTTACAAAAAAAAAAAAAAAAAAAAAAGTAATTAAAAAAAATTTAACTTGCGAAGTATAAAAACAATACAAAAATTGCCCCAACCCCCGAGAGAAAATCACCCACTCAATAAATACAGCGTGAGACGGGAGGGGGCAGAGCAGGGCAACCCCTCCAGGGACTAGCGCCGACGGTAGCAATACACGCCGTACCCGCGGCTCTGCGGGTCCGGGAAGCCAAAGCTTCGGACGCCGGGCTCCAGGGGCCCACAGTTGGGACGCGGGTGAACCACGGGGTAGCGGGCACTGCCATCCGCCAGCCAGCCAGCATCACAGCGGTCCAGGCCGCGGAACTTCCAGGCGGCAAAGAGCTGGCCCACCTTGGCAATGCAGGCGCCGTCTTCCCGGCACGCCTCCTTTGCCTCTGCCAGGGTCAGCTTCTCAGGGAGCTCCAGGTAGTACACCTGCCCTGTGGGAAAGTGGGGCGTGAGGGCTGGGCGGTAGGGGGGCAGCCTGAGAGGACAGTGGGGCCCGCAGAAACACCCGCCCGTCTGACCTCCTCAGACCTGACAATGATGAACCCAGGGAACCACGAGGCTGTGGGCACTGGCCGTGTGTCCTTTGGGGAGGTACCTTCCGAATTCTGACCGCCTCCTTGAGGGTTCCATCCCACCTGCCAGAGCGCCAGGGTCCCTCCCACCATGTCTGTACTCTACCTCTCCCTTCCCTAATTGCACCCTGAGCGGACGCCACCCCTAGTTGCTCCAATCAGAGTCTCTCGCTCACCCAATCATTTACTGAGTCCCCGGGGCACCTGCCTGGCTCGGTGGGTGGAGCGTGTGACTCTTGATCTTGGGATTGTGGGTTCGAGCCCCATGTTGGGTGCAGAGATGACTTAAAAATAAAATCTTAAAAAAAAATCGTTTACTGGGGACCTATGTGCCGGACACTTCTCTGAATGCTTGGGATGTGACAACAAACCAATTTCCTTTTTTATTTGTTGATTTTCCCGTGAAATCAACATGAGGACAGACCATGCTCTGTTTGTCTGGGATACCCAGACCCTAGTGTGGCCCCAGCATGCAGGAGGCCCTCAAAAAAGGTCCGATGACCAAGTAAACCTGTGATGGGCTTGAAGCAGCGGCAAAGCCCTCAAACGCAGCCAAACGTGGCTTCCAGCCCCGCAGGACTCCAGACCTCCAGGTAAGGTGCTGGCAGTGCGGGCAGAGGGCTCCCAAGCATCCCCAGAGGCTGCCCTCCCACCCCCACCCCGGCCCCACGCACTCACCCCTGAGGGCAGGAGCAAAGCAGAACGCGTCATAGCGGTGCCGGCGGTGGTGACGCGGGCCGTAACTGCGCACGCCGGGGGCCAGGCCCAGGCCGCCGCAGGGCTGCCGGGCTCGCATGACAGGGTACTGCACCGAGGCGTCCTGCAGCCAGCCCGCATTGCACCAGTCCAGGCCCTCCTCCCAGGCCCGGAACAACTGCTCGAAGGAGGCCACCACCGCGTCCTGCTCCTCACACGCCCGCTGGGCCTCATGGAAGTTGAGCTGGTAGCGCCCTCGGGGGTGCTGGTAGGGAAAGACCACGCCTGGGGAGGGAGGAAAGAGAGGCCTGAGGGGTGCGCAGGGGCCCGGCGGGCTGGAGACTCCAGTTCCTGCATCCCCACTCCACGTCCGGGTCCGAAGCAGAGTCTACGTCTGCTTCCCGCCGCCCTCCTAGGACTGGGCCGCTACACAGCGGTACTCAGGAAACACAGACTAGCTCATGAAGGTCACAAAGGACTCAGCCAATTAATGTCCCCACCTATAGAATGGACATACCCCCGAATTTGCAGAGCAGCTGCAAGAGCCCCAGTGCCGTGGTCTCGGTGTGTCCCCCTATTTTCTGTGGAAATCCCAAGGCCTAATGGGATGGTCTCTGGAGGCGGGGCCTAGGAGGGACTGAGGCCATGAGGGGAGAGCTCTTGTGAATGAGACCAGTGTTCCTCTATGAGACCCCACAGAGGTCGCACACCCCTTCCATCACATGAAGACACAGTGAGCAGGTTGGGAGCTGGCAGGGGACTCTCCCCTGACCACACAGACCTCCCCTCCTTGTCATACCCAACATCAGGGGTGCGGAATCTGACCCCGCTAGCCGCTGTCTGGACTAGACTGGGATGCTGATGGGAAAGGTCCCTGACTTGCCTTTTATCCTCATCTCCTCTCAAGGAGGCGGAGGAGGCCCTCGTTTCACACAGGAGGGGACAGAGCTCCGAGGAGATGGGGCGGCTACCCAGGGTGCCACAGCTGGGGCGGGCCGGGTGTGGAGCCAGAACATGGTCCTCTATGCCTCCCAGCTGCCTCCCTCACAGGTAGGAGAGGTATGGGGACACACAGCCCGTCCTAGGGACAGAGAGGGTAACTGTCCCTAGAGATTGCCCCTGGGGAGCCCACACACAAGGTCTGGTGTGCGAGCTCTGGATGGTTTGCACAAAACAGAGTTGTGACTCTTGCTTTTTTTTTCATTAGAAGATTTTACAGAAAAATACAGAGATTTCGCATAAAAGTATATTCTTCTCTCGTCAAGTCAGAAAGCCTGGCTGTGTGGGGTCTGCTTCTGGGCCTGAGTAGGGAGGACACTCCTCTGGGACAGGACGAGAGCTCAGCCGTGTGGCCCCAGTGCCCACCACTCCTGCCACTCACACGGGGTGTCCTCCTTGGTTTGTGCCACTTACAACCCCCCACCGGAGCCTCAGCTCCTGTTGCCCTCTGAGTAAGGTGTGAGCCAGGGGAGTGGTGGGTTCTGAAGCCTGACTGCCTGGGGGTCAAACTCCTACGCTCCCTTTTGTGGGCAGTATGATCTTAGGGAAGTTACCTGGCCTCCCTGTGCCTCTGTTTCCTCATCTGTAAAATGGGAGCAATGACAGCAGTAGCTTCCCCGTGGGGTGGTTTTGAGGACTGTATGGCTGTCTAAGGCAAGAGTTCTAGACAGTTTCTCGGGGCCCTCTCCCCATGGCCCGGGCCCCCACGACCCCCCTGCCCACCCATGGGGGCCTCACCCCGCAGCTCCAGCTCCACCAGGCCACTCTCGTCCTCCAGCCCGTCGATGACCTCACAGCGGTAGCGCCCGGAGTCCTCCAGCCGCACGTCCTGGATCTGCAGTGACGCTTCTCGCTCCCCATCCTCCCGCAGGCGCACCCGGCCTCGGTAGTCCCCGAAGGTGCGGCGCCTCAGCCCGATGGCCACAAGCACATCCAGCTCGGGGGCTCCGTTCTCCGACAACTTCCACCATTTGATGCGCACGGGCCTCGGGGACAGCGGGGCTGGCTCGTAGTGGTAGCGGCAGGGCAGGGTCACGTTGGCCCCTGGGTGGGAGAACAGGGTCTCCTCGGGCGTCTCTACCACCAGCTTCACCCCATTGAAGATGCCTGGGAGAGAGATGGGGTGCCAATGGGGCCTGCTCCAGCCCACCCGTGCCCCTGCGAGGACCGCCCGAGCCTCGGGAGTCACACCTTGCAGGAATGGCCGTAATGCTCCGCTCCTCCCCGTTCCACGCACTCTGCACTGCGGCTTTGCGTCTTCTATCAGGAGGGGACATCATTTCCCCTCCCCCTTAAATCCCTGCTGGCCGTGCCACTTGCTCTGACCACATGAACGCAACGGAAGTGACTATTTCCCTGTGCCTGCTCTCAGCCTGGGTCCACTCTTCCCCGGAACCTTGCCAATCCCCACGACAATGAACCTGGGTGCACCTGCTGGAGAGGGAGAGCCCACGGGGAGCAGAGACAAGCCCTCACAGCTGGGGCCATCCTAGGCCAACCAGCTCCCAGCTGACCTGTCCTACCGACTGCAGGCACAGTCAACGGAGTGAGCACAGCCGGGACCGAGGATGTGGACGCCAGCCCAGAATGCTGACCCTTGGAATCACGAGCCAAAACAACAACCAAAAAAAGAAAAAAACAAAACAAAACAAAAAAACCACTAAAAATGACTGTTGCCTTAAACTGTTCAGTTTGTTGTGCCTAAGAAGCTACCTGATGTAGCAGGCACCAGAGCACCTCCTTCTCAGGCGGCTGGCGAGGACGCAGCTCTCCCTAAGAGAGCCACCACGGTGGCCACGGGAGAGCACAGCCTGCCCTTCACTTTCTGTCCAACTGTTCTCCCTGATGCTCCCCAAACGCCTAGAAGTGCAGGTGAGAGGAGGTCGGGACTTCTGGTGGAGACGATATACATCTAATCCTATACATATGTACCAGCAGGCCTCCTGGGTACGAATAAACACAGAGCAGACACTCCTTGACCCTGGAAAAACACTGTATTCTATGAAGTGGCAGGGAGATTCCCAAGCCCACATGTAGAGCAGGAGGAGAAAAAGAATTTTCTCGATCGTCTCTCAAAGGCGGGAGGGACCCACGGGACATGTTAGCAATGGTGCCCCCCGGTGGGGGGGATTATTGGTGATTTTGTGTGCACATATTCAGGGACTGAAGGGAAAGCGGTGACAGGATGGGTAGAAAGTTTAAGTTTTTAAGTTTCCTTGAATCTCAGTAAAGTTGCGATTGTCTCACAAACTCTGGGGGACGAGGAGGGTGGAAGGCCAAATAGTGAGAGCCCAAACCCGTGAGAGCCGGGTCCTAATTCCTGGCACCCATGGGAGCTGCCTTCTACGGGAAAGAGAGGAGCCTGGATTACAGATTGCAGTCACACGTGTCTTCTTAGAAGGGGGCCGAGGGAGATGTGACCCCGGAGACTTAGATTGGAGCGACACAGACACAAGTTCGGGTCCATCAGCGGCCACAGGGCACAGGGAGAGGTGAGGAGCACGTGTTCCCCGAGAGCCTGAGAGAGGCTCATGGCACGACCGGGGGGCTGGGTCCCCAGTCTGCCACAGACAAATCTCAGGGCGGGTTCTTAGGATCCGTGTGCCCTGGGAGGCTGGCTCAACCCTGTGAGCTTCGGTTTCCTCATCTAGGAAATGAAATAATCCACAATATCTGCTTTCGGGGCTGCCCATCAGCGTGGGGTGACGGGTGCCCTCATGGTGCTGGTTGTCAACCTTGCCACTATGCCAGGGTTTTTTGAGGATTTGCATGAGGCAGCATACAGATGGCACCGAGAAGCGTGCCTGGCGCATAGTAGGTACACAGCTGCTAACTAAAAAGTCACCTGCCCAGAGGCACCTGGGGGGCTCAGTCTGTCGAGCATCCGACTCTTGATTTTGGCTCAGGTCGTGATCTCAGGGTAGTGAGATCAAACCCCGCGTCGGGCTCTGTGCTGAGCATGGAGCCTGCTGATGATTCTCTCTCCCTCTGCCTCTCCCCCGCCTACCGCCTAAAAAAAGTCACCTGCCCAAAGCTGTTTAGGTACAAAGTGGCAAAATTAAGATTCAGACTCACATCTCTCTAATCTCAAACCCCCTCTTCCCCTGGGGACAACGGGGGAGATCCACTTAAGTTGGATCTCGGAAAACCAGCAGGACTTCGGGAGCGTCCAGAAGCGCACAGATGATTGTCTTTAAGTGCACTCGGCTCCGACGCGCTCCAAGCCCGAGGGACTAGCAAACAGAGTAACTGGACCGTCCCTGGCCTCGTCTTAGAAATGCTCCTGGTCTGCTTCAGGACCCAGAGGGGAAGGGGCAGCAGGCTCCACGCCCTGTCCCCTGTCCCGGACTGGAGCCTCCTTATCCCAGCAGAAGCCCGGAGAGGTCCCAGTCACCCGGGCGAGGCATAGAGCCAGAGCCAGGAGGCCGCCCACCTTCGCCGTGGCTGTTCCAGGAGCTGGGATTGTTGGAGTAGTAGAAGCCATTGTAGAAAGGCAGCCCGGAGACGCAGGACAGCGGGTACAGCAGGACCAGGAGCAGTGGGCCCATGGCGCCAGGGTGTCCGGGGCAGGCTGGGAAGAGAAGAGAAACAAGCCAATGAGAGAAGCCTGCTGCTGGGGTCCGGAGACCCCCAGGTCACAGCACCCACTTATTCACTCACTCAGCTGGTAATTACGGATCATCACACCCTGTCCTCAGAGCCGAGAAGACAGAGGGGAGCGAGCCCAGGTCCCGGCCCTCAGGGGACGGCACCCCCCAGGCCAGATGGGCCAGAAGCAAGCCAGCAAAGCCTAGGGAGGAGTGAGGAGGAAGCATGGAGTCCACGGAGAAAATTACACAGGATGATGGGACAGGATCCATAGTTTTCAGACAGCACGATTGGATCAGAAAGTTGTGAGCACCGAAGAGCCCAGACTAGACTGAAAATCTCAGGTGAATTCATGTTTAGTGAGGGGAGTCCTGCACTGTCCAGCTTTTGTCTCGGTCCTGAGCCGCTGCTGGGGGTTGACGGGGACCCCACAGATTTCTTATACTGAGTCAAGATCAAAAAAAAAAAAAAAAAAAAAGCCAACACCACACTTAGAGCACTTCTGGGGGCCATCCCAGTTTCCGTGGACACGCAAATAAAATAGGCAACTAGGCCTTGGGCTGTAGTTTGTTTGTTGGGTTGTTTTTTAAATATTGCATTAAATATTAGATCTTGATGACCAAGGATTTTTGGTGCACACCGATCCTCCTCGCCAGGTGTATTTTGCACCCAAGGCTAATAGTGCCTCCCTCACCTCCCCCTCATTTTCCCCGCCCCCCTCGCTGCCATTTGTTGAGCCCTTGATTTAGAAGACTGGTAGCCTTGGAGGAACTTAGTGCCTAGACGGGGTAGAGTCACAGGCAGGAGTCTGGATGCTGTGTGGGGAATGCAGAGGTGAGGTAGAGAAAAGGAGCAGGAAAAGAGACTGAAGACATAGGAGTTAGCTAGGTGGAAAGGACGCTGGGATGTGCCCAGCAGGGGCCCAGCAAATGCAAAGGCCCAGAGGCCAGAGAGAACCCGTGGGGGGCTGGGAATGTGCTCTAAGTTCTCCATTTGTGCTTTCCTCTGCCCGCACTGGTCCCTGTGAAGCTTCTCCGGGGTCCTGGCCTCTGGCTTCCAGTAGGATTTGGCCAACAGGAGGCAGCCACAGCAGAGGGACAGGAGGAAGGAGAAGCTGCCTTGTGACCACAGCCCTGCAGTGGGCTCCTCTCCCCAGCACTTGCTCTCCTGGGGTGTGTAACACGTTTCCTCCCCTTCCCGCAGCCCCTCCCAGGCCTGGGGGCAGGGAACTTGCTTGTGTCTGTGTCTTCCACTCCCTCGTGGGTTGCCCCCCACCCCCTTCTCTAGAAGTCAACCGGTTCTTCCTCATTAAAGCTTTTTTTATTGGAACCACCGGGGTGAATTCTGCTTCCAGCCAAAACCCTAGCTGATCCAGGGCAGAGGTGGTGAGAGGGGTCAGCGGGCCCAGCATCTAGATGCCCTTCTGTCTCCAGACCAGGCTTTTCCCTCCCGCCTTGGTCCCAGAGGTCCTATGGTGCCAGGGACGGCCATAAGCAGAGGAGCCACAAGGTCAGAAGCACCCCTCCAGGGCCTGTGCTGAAGGCGGACAGTGGGGCGGCAAGGCCAGGGTGCAGTGGGCATCTGGAAGTACGACCATGATTATCATGCGGCAATGTGGAAACAGGCTTAGGGTATAATTTAAATGGACAAAGCAGAACATGAGAACTGCCCCTTTGCTATGATTGCAAGGCTGCGGCCCGTGAATGCCTATTGTATGGAGACCAGAATTCGGGAGAACAGCAAAAAGAGACCAGAGTGGGGAGGTGGGGGAGAAGGGAGGGGGAAAGAAAAGAATAAGAAATGGGGCACCTGGGTGGCTCAGTCACTTAAGCGTCTGTCTTTGGCTTGGGTCATGGTCTTGGGGTCCTGGGATGGAGCCCCACAGGGGGGTCTGCTTTGTCCGTCTCTCTCTCCCCACTCCCACCCTCCTCTGCCCCAGCTCGTACTGTCTCTCTAAGTAAAATCTTTAAAAAGAAAACGAGGAAAGCATGGAATCTGCAAGGAAGGGTGGTGGAATTGAGCAGGGAACCTTCTTGCTTCCAGGACAGTGAGGAGCCCTTGCTGGAGAAAAAGCAGATTCGGGGAAAGCTGACACGTAGAATCTGCTACTCTTCTAGGCCTCTTGGGGGAGATCTGAGCCCCAAAGCCCCCTCCGTGCCAAGCACGGCTGTAGGACAAGGCCCTTCTGAGCTCTCGCTTCTTGGCAAAGAGAAGCCCCCAGGTGACACAGAGCAGCCCCACCAGGCAGCACAATCCACAACCTAGTACAGAAGTCCGGGGATGGGAGGATCTGGGTTCAAACCCCATCTTCACTCCTTACACGCTGCGTGATTCTAGGCAGGTTTCCTCGTGTGTGAAATGAACCTCCTAAAACTCACCATGAGCTATGTCTCACCCACGTGCTCAACTTCTCTCTACAGTAAGCTAGTTCTAGAGAAGCGCATGACCGGCCAGCACGAAGCTGTGATTTCAGCCTCCCTCTGCAGCGAAGAGGGGCTGTGGGATTCCGTGCTGGTTAACGGCAGTGAGCGAAGTAACACATGCCACACACAGCTCTTGGATTAAAACAAGGATCCCGTTCCCTGGCAATTTTTTCCCTCCACCTGCTGGCGACCAGAGGTCCCACTTTAGTTTCAGAAATGTAAATCATGGGTTGAACAGCAAAGCCAGGTCCAGCAGCCCTGGACTGCCCCCAGTGCACAGTGTCATGAGAGAAACAAAGTCCCAGCATATTGAAGTCCCCCATTTTGAGTCTCTTTGTAAACCCAGCTGAGCCTCACTTGGACCGCTCTCGTCGGCCTAAAAATACTGACAACTGAGTTTAATGAGCACTTACTATCTCATTTACTCCTGACCACAAGCCCTGGAGGTGGAACCTTCCAGTATCTCACTGTACCTCTGGGAAGACCAAGGGCACAGAGAGATTAACTCATCGGCCCAAGGTCACCCAGCGAGGACACGGCAGAGTTGGGATCTGAACCCACAACCAGCTCCAAAGTCCAGGATGACCATGTCAAATTCCGAGAGGTGACGTGTGCAGAGCACACACAGCAGGCCCTCCTAGGGAAGTTTCCTTTCCCTTCCTTAAGGTCCCACATCTGGAACCAGGACCGAGAGGCTGTTGGTACTGAGCTGGAGGTGACAGGCCCTGCCGTGTCCCTGGACACTCGCAGCCTGTGCCAGGGAAGGGGCCGGTTGGGTCCCCGCCTGCCATGTCCCCAGCCTCCTTCTCACAGCAGCTCATCAGGCCCAGACGCCCTCCAGTGAGAATGGGCTTCCCTGGGACAAGCAAATGCAGGTGTTTCTGCCACAAAGTGATACAGATGTGCCTGAAAAAACAGATTTTTGCAATTAAATAATAACAAGGTGAGGGGGGCAAATAAGCCTGGGACAGATTACTCAAAACATATGCAGCTTTGTAACCAGACATTGACAAAACCTAATAGAGTCCTAATAAAGAACATCGGCACCGTGAATTCTCTCCACTGACCTTGGCACCCAGCGCCCCTTCAATCAGCCTTTGCAGCCTTCACCTCCCGGTCAAGGGCTTCCTCCTCTGAGATGTAGGTTTTCAGGGACCTTGGATTCCAGGAGAAACCAGATTTGCCAAAATTAAGAATCTGAGCCAGGATGGAGCCATCTTCTTTAATCATTTTTTTTTTTTAACTCAAGGGAAATGGCTTTGCAACTTCACCAAGGGATTCCTACACTTCTCAGAAAAATTTGCATGAAGCTGCCATACAGGCACCCCTCCCGCACCCCGGGATCCTTGAGTTGAGATGGTGTGAGTTTGGATCTTGAGAGGCAGGACAGTGGGGTAGGAAGGGATACTGCATTATCCAAGTCTGTTTGGTTCCTGAGTTTTGAACACAGAACAGCAAAGAGCCTGGGGAGTGACCTTCGTATGCGTGCTTTTCTGCAGGAGTGTCAGCATTTGTCTTAAGGAATCCATAGCTTGCTTAGGTTTGCTCTTTGCTTGTGAGAAATGCTGTTTTAGTGGTCCATTATGTCAGCATGTTGAGAAAGATCACCCTGGACCAACGCCGCTCCATGACACTCTGACCTCAGTCCCCCCTCGTTCTCCCCAGTTGCGGATGAGGTCCTTCATCATTCAGAAACATGCACTGAGGCAGGAAAGACTGTAGCACCTTCTGGAGCCTCCAGCGAGCTCCTAGGCACCCCTTCTGTGCCTCCAAAACCCCACCCCCCACACTCCCTTGGTTTTAAAGGGCTTCCATGGCCAGCAGCTCTCTTGACCCTGCCAAGAACGACCCTCCACCCTAGTCAGCCAGAATTTTACTCTCCCCAATTCCTCCACAGGTAAACAGAGGCACAAGGGTATGAAGCAACTGTCCGAAGGTCAGGTGGCCAAGATGGCAGGGGTGGGACTCTACTGGAAGCTCTCCAGCCAGCCCCCATAAGGATCTGTCCTATAGGAGAACCGCCTTCTGCTCGACAGCGCATTTGCACCGATGTCATTGCCTGTGGGTTTCACAGTGTCAGAATTTTTATCCCCCTTATACGTATAGACAAGGAAACGGAGGTTCGGAAATGCTAAGTTGCAGGGCGCCTGGGCGGCTCAGTCAGTTGGGCCACTGACCCTCGGTTTTGGCTCAGGTCGTCATCTCGGAGTCATGGGATTGAGCCCCAAGTCTGGCTCTGCGCGCTCAGCGGGGAGTCTGCTTGAGATTCTCTCCCTCTGCCCCTCCCCCAACTCACGCACGTGTGCAGGCGCACTCCCCCCTTCAAAAATTAGTAAATGAAATCGTTCAGAAAAGAAATGCAAGGTTGCATAGCTAAGGTGACAGTCTTCATCAGGAGATGGATGAAGGAGCTGGAACGGGACCCCATTCACTCAGCAAGTACTTGTCCCACATCCGCCCCATGCCAGGCACAGTTTCTGGCCCACAGGATACAAATCAGAAGTTCCCAGAGCTCCCATTCCAGGGAGGGAAGCAGGCAGCAAATAGGATATGGGACATCCGTGTTGCCAAAGTGTGGCAAGTTGACAGAGGAGGCTGAGCAGGGGAGAGGTGCTGCAGGAGACAGGATGGGTCAGGAAGGCCTCCCTGAGAAGAGGACCAACTGAAGGTGTGAGCTCTGAGAATCCTAGGGAAAAGCATTCCAGGGGAGAGAACAGCAAGTGCAAAGAAAGGCCTTTGGCTGGAAGGGCTTGAAGTCCAGTGCGGAGCAAGAGGGAGGGAGGCAGGAAGTGATGTCCCCACCCCGGCAGAGGCACAGGACCAGACACAGCCCGCTGAAGGGAAGGCACTGGAGGGTTTCCAGTGGAGGATGGCCACAAATCTGACTGACATTCTAGAAGAACCATTCTGGCTCTCTTCCTGCCTTAGCTCCAGGACATGTCCTCCTTCTGGCTCCTTTCCAGCTAAAGACAGCCTTAAATTTTGCTTTTTGCTTTTTTTAAGATTTTATTTATTAGAGGAAGTGCATGGTGTGTGTGGGGGGTCGGGTAGAGAAGGACAAGCAGACCCAATGCTCAGCAGGGGGGCTAATGCGGGGCTCGATCCCAGGATCACGACCTGAGCTGAGAGCAGACGCTTAGCCGAATGAGACACCCAGGTGCCCCAAAAGAGCCCTTGTTCTCCTTCATTACTTTGGTCCCCTCTCCAGTCTGGATACCCACTCTCTGGTTTACTAACACGACCGCAGGGGTGCCTAGCTGGCTCAGTCAGTGCAACGTGTGACTCTTGATCTCGGGTCGTGAGCTCGAGCCCTATGTTGGTCATGGAGCCTCCTAAAAAAAAAAAAAATAAACCCACAAACCCTTCCCACAAATGGAGAGGTGTGATCTGGTCGACACCACCCTTTGCTGGATGCTAACCCAGCAGTCATGCAACCTTAGAATGCGGGGAGGGGTCCCAAGAAGAACAGTGAGTTCTGAAGATCAGCCCAGTGTCCCGGGGCTCTGACCCAATGGAATCTGGCCGTCCTCTCCCAGCCTCTCTGACACCAGGGCAGCACACAAAGCCTGAGGCGTCCCGATAGACTTGCTACTTGCTGGCTGGCTGATCTGACTTCTCTGAACAGAAGTTTCCCCGTCTCCAGAGCAGATTAACAGGAAAGCTCAGCAGTTGAAAACAAACGACCATCCTGAATGTTAGGCGAAAGTCAACCACTACCACTCAGGGAAACAATGGACAGTCTGGGCTCCCTTACCCTGGCTACCGTGGGGGTCATGGGAGGCTCCCCAAGTCAGCTGGAGCTTTGCCTGGGCAAAGACACACCTGCACCCTGCTGAGTGACCTTGAGCAAGTTATTCAACCTCTCTGTGCTTCCGAGTCCTCATCTAGAACCTCACTCTAGGACGTGGTGAGGATTATATACAATGAATTGTGTCCAGCCCCAACACACAACAGATGTTCCACAAACCGTTGCTCGTACGTATTGGTAGAAGAACATAACGGCAGATTTCGGGTTCTAGAATCAGACTGGCCACCAGGACTCGGTTCTGGTTCCCCCAAATTACTAACAGTGTATTAGAGGGCAAGTCACTGAACTTCACTTTCCTCGTCTGTCAGATGGAGGTCACAACACTTCTAACCAGAAAATATCTCTGGTTAGAAAATTAAGGGAGAGAAAGACTGCAAAGCTGTCACTCACAAAATAGAGCAGTTATTACTACGTTAAAGGTGCAGTCTCCCCTTATTCCGATGGATCCTTCTCCCCTTTCACTACCTAGGAGAGAAAGCAGTCACCATTGTCTTCTCTTTACAGTTGGGGAAATTGAGGCCAAGAGCATGGAGGCGAGGGAAGTATTCAAGGCTTTATCTTTGGTAAACAGGCAGCGGTAAGAGAAATTTCAAGTCTCCTGGCCGCCCACCCTTTGCTTTTCCCAGCACCACGTGCCTCGGGACCGTCCCCACGGCAGAATAAGGGGAAGCCCAACTGGGAAGGAAGATGGGGCCCCCCAGGCTCTCCTCATTTGTGCGGCGGAGAGTAGCGTTCCCCCCCCTCCAACGGCAGGGGGCAGTCTTGCCCTCCAGGTTTCTCCAAGCCCCGGTTCCTGGGGAAGAATCAGACTTCGGTGGCCCCTGTTTAGACAAGGCTTCACAGGCGCCTTTGAAACCTGCGGCCCCCGGAAACTGAAAGCCGGAGGTGTTTCCTACCAGCATTCCAGCCGGCTGGCTCACGCAGGGCCGCGGGGGAAGAGGCCAGGACGCCTCTCAATCACCTCCCCCTGCTGCAGAGAGCAGAGGCACCCCGGGGGGTCAGCGCTGGGCACTACGGTCCACGCTGGGTCACACAGGCTGCTGGGGCCACCCAGCGAGTTGGTGACAGAGCCGGGTCCAAGCGCTCGCGCTGCTTCCTTCCTGGCTGCCCACCGGCCCTAAATGCCTCAGCGAGCGACCCCATCTCCCACCCAGGGCGCTACTGGCCGCCCTCCTTCTTCATCTCTGGTCTCGCTGCCCTAAGGCAGAAACCCCCGCGAACCGCGGCCTGAAACCGACGCGCATCCCTGGGACAGCCGAGGGGGCGGCAGAGGCCAAGGGGCGCAGGTCTGCCGCCTGCCGACCCCGCGGGTTGTCCCTAACCCCTCACCCCACCCCCGGCCTCCCGCGGACCCCGGAGCACCCGACACATGCCGGGACAGAGCCCGGCGCGCCGCGCACGGTGCGGGAGGCTGCAGGACCCAGACCGCACGAGACGCGCAGGGATCCGGCGGGCCCCGGTGGCAAAGGGGCTGGACGGGGCAGTGGTCTCGGAGGCATCGGTTTCGCTGGAGTTGTGTCTCCTCGTGGCGCGCTCCGGGGTTCCGCGCAGGTCCGCCGGTGCCCCCGCGCTGCTCCCCCTGAACTCGCGCCCGGGGCGCGCCCCGGGGCGATCACAGCCCAGCGGTGCCCAGGGCACTCTTCCTGCGTGCTTCCCCTACCCTGCCCCGGGAGACGTGGGGGCCCGCAGGAGACCCAAAGCGGGGGTGGGGGGGTGGACACAGCCCGCAGAGGGACCCAGCAGCCCGGCCACCCCCCAGCTACTTACTGTCCCCAGGCAGCTCTTAGACGGCTGGAGCGCTCCCAGCCCAGGGCTGTCCGGGTCCGAGGAAGCCGACGGATTTGGGGGATCCCAAACGGCCTGAGAGGAAGCGGCTGCGGACAAACCCCCGCGTTCCCGCCGGGCCAGCCCCTTAAAGGAACACACGCCCCTTTCCCTTCCAAGGGCTGGGCCCAAAGGGAGGAGTTGCTGCCTACTTGGCTCCAATTCTGAGATGCTAGTGGGGCGTAAAGGGAATGTGCAGGAGTTGCTGTCACAGCTTGGAGAGGGTAAGTGGGAGATGGAAGAGGTGCGTTATTGAGGAAGGTCCCCTTAGAACACTCTGGTTTACCAAAAACACTGGGACTAAGCAGGGGGAGCCCCTCTCCAGCACTCTCCAGCACTCCAGCACTCCGCCCCAGCAGGCGGGCAATGGTTGCCCCCCACTTCCAGGAGCAGGAAGGATAAACGTTCTGTGTGCTTACCGCCCAGATGAGGCAAGGGGTCCGTGACCTCCCTCCTGCCCATGAGTTTAGCCATCATGAGATCCCCAGGCAGACTGTTAGCTAGTGTCAGGCACAAGGACACTGACCTTCGGAGAAGGGGCTTGAAACCGTGGTCTTGGGGGAAGGAAAGGCAAAGTTAGAGGTGCTCCCTGCAGCCAGCAGGGGCAACTAGGATTCTGACTGGTGCTCCAACAGGGGCAGGGCCCCGCCTGAGTCCTGACATCCGTCTGTTCAGCCATGTGGCAGGCACCACCACCTCCTAGGACTTCTGTTTGGAACGGGTGTTTTGTTTCCACCCTGGTCAACAAGGGTCCTGGGCTGGACAGTTTCCCTCAGCAGAAAAGCCTAGAGTCCTTTGACCCTAGTCGGGAGAAGGGCCACATGTCACAGGGTCACTGAGTCCAGAGTCTTCCTAAACACACTTCAAATGCCTGTGTGCATGTGGGTGCGTGTGCGTGTGCCTCTGTGTGTGTGTGTGTGTGTGTGTGTGTGTGTGTGTGCGTGTGTTACACACGAGCCAGGAGCACATGAGAGCACACTGTGGCCAAAGTGAATGCCGGGCATCAGAGAGCCAGTGAAGGTTCCTCCATGAGGAGGAGAGACCTGACTTCTGAGTGGAGACGGACTGGAGAAGTAAGACTTGAGCACCAATTAGGAAACTCTTGCAAGCTTCTCTGATGGTGGGCGACCCATGCTTGAGGCCTCCACCTTTTGCATCTGGGGATCTCTTGTCAGCCTCCACAAGGCTATGGAGCTGGTCCTGTTATTTCCATTTTACAGACAAAGGAACTGAGGCCCGGAGAGATTTCAGTAAATTGCCTAAGGCCCCTTGGAATCAAGAGGTGAACTCTGGTTTTCCAACCTAAGTTCCTAATGACTCCACCCTATTTAAGCCAGGAACATAAAATAGACTGGACTCCTGGGAGAGGGGGTTCAAAGGGTCCCAGGGCTGAGAACCACAGGGGAAGGGAGAAAGACCACAGCTGGGCAGGTCAGTTCTGCTGCAGCAATGCAATGTCACTCGCCAGCCAAGGCCAGGGCTGGCCAGCAGGTAGTCTCAGTCCTGGCTCTCCAGACTGTGGTCAGGAATGAAAAAGGAAATTTGGGGAGGAGATGGTGAATGTGTGTGTTAGTCGGGGAGGCTCCCCAGGGGGAGGGTCAGGAGTGAGGGCCCCAGGCTCTCCAGAGGGGAATTTTCAGGCTCCGGCCAACTCATCCAAGATTACAGTACAGAGATGAGCAGAAGGGCCTGTGTGGCTTAGGCCATTCCAGAGTGCCCTCAGGGCTCCCAGGCCTGGTGGGGGTCTTGTGAGTATGGCCAACGAGATGGGCCTGCGGCAAACATTCAGTGCCTTGAATGCTTGTGGACAGATAGCTGTGAACTGTTTCCCCTTATGTAAGTGGGACTCCTTGGGTTCTAGCAAGACCCCCGGCGCAGTTCATTCCTGGAGGTGGGGGACAGTGGAACCATCCCAGAGCACAGGTGTGGAGGAAAGCAGCTTCTCCCCCTGTGTTAGTCCCCAGGGGAGGCCAGAACAGGCTTGTGGCTAGGAAATGCTCCCAAAAGGGAGTCCCGAGGCCAATAACCACCCCCACCCCCACCCCCGAAGACTGACTCCAGACACAATTCATGCAGCCCCCCAGAAGAGCTCTCTGAAACAGGATGGAGTGGGACGAAAGATTCCCCGGAGGTAGGGAGCCCCAATGGCCAGTTCGCTCGGAGACCATAGCCTGGGCCTTTTATTCTGCCCCTGCCCGGCTGAGAATCCCTGGCAAGGGCCGCTCTCAGGAAGGAGCCACTTCCAGACTAATTTTCCTCACCAAGTTCCAGCAAAGCCACACCCTCTTTGGCAGCCACATGGCCCAGATCTGCCAGGAGGCGCCTATGTGTATCACAGCATGGCTCCTGAAGTTTGTTCCAGAAAATTCACCTTGTGTCCCACGGCCTGGGATACAAGGGTGGTTTCCTATACCCCTTTCCACTAGTCCGTCCCTCCTCTACCTGCCGGTCTCCTTCCCAGATCACCAAGGCGCTGGGCTGCACTGCCCCTCGCTGGCTACTTCCTGATGTCTTCAGCATGGAACAGCAGAGGGTACCCCTGGAGCTTTCCAGAGCCCTGCCACCCTGCCAGCAGCCTCCCACGAACCTGTGTGCTCTGCCAGGAGGCCTCGTGACCAGCCAGAGCCCTGGCTGCTTCCTTGCATCCCACCCCCGGGGCCTCCCCCAGCTCTGAAAGCAGCCCAGGTTCACGGGGTTTCTAGTCATTTCTGCAGCCCACCACTCCGGATGCAGAGAAAATGCCAAAAATCAACAGCCTCAGCAGTGGGGTTGTGGTTGGGGAGGAGAACAAAGGCATTCATGGAGACAGCCTCTGTGCCAGCACCGCCCCCCCGCCCCCCGCCACCAGCCCCTCTCCAGGCAACAGCTATGGGCCCCCAGGGCTGCATGGGTCAGGGGGCTGGAGAACGGAGGGGACACGACCAGAGGCGTCTCCTCCCTTCTCCAGCTGTTAAGCTGGTAGGTGACACCAGCATGCCTGCCTCTGGGAGGACGGAGGGGGAGGGTGGGAGCAGCAGCCCGTGCCAATGCAGCAATGATGAACCACAGCAAGAGTTCCAGGGGGTGACATAAATATATTTCTGAAGCTGCCTGTGTACTCTGGGGTAAAGAACCAGCACAGAGGGTGCCTCCCCCCGCCCCCAGGCCACCCACCTCCACCCCTATCTCTCCGGAAGCCCACCCACCCCATCCCCTTCTGTCTCTTTTTAGGCCAAGTGTCAAGAGGTCTCCAGGGAGATAAGGGGGGGATGTGTCAGGGGGCTTGGTGGCAGCAGCAGGAGTGGCAGCATCGTGCTGAGGGACAGGAGACCGTTATCTCTAGCCTGGTGTCTCAGGGCCTTCCTCCGGGGGCAGTGGGCACTTGGGGGGCGGGAGCGAGTGTCAGGAAAACACAAGAGACTAGAACCAGGGATCCGGGGAGATGCAGCCCCACTCCCTACTCTGCCCTTCCCGCTCCATCCCAGACCTACTTCACTCCCACAGGGCCTAAGAGAACGGGACAGCAGCAGGGGCAGGGAGAAGGGGGGGTGGGGGGGTTGGGAGGGAGGGGTGGCTGAACCCCACCCCCACCCCAGGTCACGGACAATCAGGAGGTGGGGTGGAGGAGGCAGCAGGCCACCAGAAGGCCAGGAGGACCAGGTACGGGGCGGCTGCCCCAAGGCCCTTGTGGTCACTCCGGCCAGGCCGAGCACTAACAGCCCAGCAGCTCCACACGCATGGTGATACGGTTGTGCCAGGCGACGGGCAGGATGCGCACAAAGCGAGCCAGGAAGGGCATCTCGAACATGTTCTTCTTGTGGGAGTTATTGTCCAAGTTGCCAGGGAAGATCTGGAGGCAGAGGGGGGTGTCAGGAGGGCCCCAGGGCCCGGCCCGCCCCGCCCCGCCCCGCCCCGCCCCGCCCCTCAGAGCTCCTGGCCAGACTCCAAGGGCACCCCTGGAGGGATGGCAGGACGTGGGCTGGCCAGACACCGACCTTGCTCTCGACAGACCCCTGGTCCTTGTACTCGACCCAGTTCATGCTGTCGTTACTGTAGGCCACCTTGTAGGCTGCCACATACTGGATGTGGCCGAAGTCTCGGGCCCCCTGGGTAATGATGCCGGCCACTTGTCTCTCGGAGCCCAGGTCAATCTACAGGGAAAAATCAACCACGTTGTGTTTGTGTCGACCATTCTCTCCAAGAAGGTAGCAAAAGGCAGACAGGCTGGGGAGGCAGGGTGGGCAGGGCTTCCAGTTTGGGCGAAGCTACTGTATTTGGCACGACCTTCTCATTTATATGAGGGACATAAAGCCTGTCACCTACTTTGCCACAGTCTGTTAGACACCTCACTGCAGCAAAGCTAGAGTTTAAAGCCCGGACCTTGGCCAACCCGCAGCCAGTCCCCACCCCTCCCCCGGTCCAAAGAGAACAAGGACAGGAGAGACACTGGCGTGGTTCCCGAGGTGTCCAGCATGGCGGTCTGTGGCCTGGCACGAATCTCGAAGGAGTCTAAACGCAGGCAGCTCCTCACAGAACCCAGCTCTACAGGCTAAGGGCAACTGGGGACCGAGAGACACAGGTCCTGCTCCCAGTCCCTGAGCATCCGGGGAGCCTGCCACCTACTCCTGGATAGGCCCCATGTGTCCCTAGACGCAAACCCTCAGGATGGTTCCCTCACAGAGGACATCAGCAGACAGCCCTGTTTTCTGGGACTCTCCTGGTTCCCAATTTCATGAAATCCAAGGGCTGTCCCATGGGGTATTCTCAGACACTGAGTGTCAGGCAGGGAAGTCCTGTGGGGCACCTGCCCGGGTCAGGTGTCCCTCCTCTGTCCTGTCCTACTGTCCACAGGCTCAGCCTGGTGAGCTTGTGACCGCAGGTGGAGATGGCTCTACCGCGTGACACACAAAGACACAGAGACACACACACCCATTTCTCCGTTGCCGAATCTGGAGAAGGTGCGGCACAAAGGAGGAGGGAAATAACAACGCTGAATTAAAAATAAGGCTTTTCAGACGCTCCCTCTTGGGGAGCAGAAGCCTGGGCTGGGCAGAGGTCAAAGAGCAGTCACCCCTTGGATCCCACCCCAACCCGTGCCTTGCAGCCCTGCAGCCCGACACACCTGCAGCCACTCGGAGGCATCATTGGTCTGAGCGGTCCAGGCATTGAACTTGCCCTGCTTGTCCAGCCGTGCGTAGAAGGGGTACCAGCTGAAGGCATTCAGGCCCCAGGTCCTGTAGATGCTGGAGGCCGTTATCTGCTTGTCGGGGATGCTGTTGTCCTTCATGCCCAGGGGCTCCGCGCATCCTGCCAGCAAGGGGGTTTGTCACCGAGATCACGACCCACGGCAGCCTCCCAGAAGCAATAGCACAAGGCGGACTGGGGGGTCAACGGTTGTGCTTTCTCTCTGTCCACCCCACCAACCCCTCACCTGGGCCAGCTGCCCTCAGTTCCCACCCCCACCTTGATGTGCCCTTCCCAGATCCCCCACCGCCTGTCCCCTCTGCACAAGGGCAGGCTCTGCCACCATCTCCGCCACGCCTTCAAGGCCTGACTCATTAGATGCCTCCTCCAAGAAGCCTACCCTGACCACCTCATTTGGGCGGAACTTAGGCCCCTACGGGACTTCTCTCTCACTCCTATGGTCCAGCTGCTATCTATATCAAGGCTGAGGCCTGAGATCTTGGTCAAGGACGTCAGCAACAAGTAACCCATTGATCCAGTGCTCACTTCTGTGGTTTTGATCACCACCAGGAACCTGAAAGCCGTATCAGTGACCCCATTCTATAGGTACAGAAACAGGCCGAGATAGTAAGCATTGTGCCTGTCTGTCTCTCTCTCTCACACGTACACACAGACACACAGACACACTCCTACTCACCACACCAGGCTGTGACATCATCGCCACCATCCACACCCCCTCCCAGAGCCATGAAGGCCTGCCTGCCGGTAACCCGGGGATGAAGGGGACCACACGGCTGACCGCCAGCAGGTGGAAATAACAGCAGTCAGGATCCCCGGGGCTCAGGGCGGATCCCGTCTCCTTGCCCAGCAGCCCCTCTGAGTCGCCCAGGGGGCCTTCACGCTCAATACTGAGTCCTCCCAGTGCTGCCACTCGGGCCCGGGAAGCTGGCCTGGGCTTTGCGCAGGCCTGCCCCGCTCAGCAATGTGCCCGGCTTTTCTGCATAGCCACACCCACCGGCAGGTGGCTGGGACAGTTAGGGAGCGGCGGCAGGAGACCAAGCTCCCAAGACCATGATGGGTATGTCTCACGCCGGGCAGAATCCTCACTCTGCTCTATTGGGGGCACCTGGGGGTGGGAGAAGCGGGCGTGGAGAGCCGTGCCTTGAGCTGAGAGCAGGCGGGAGTATATGGTGCCTCACGTCACCGTCTCCCCAGACACTTGCACTCTCGCCACTAAAGACCTCTGCCTCCAGCTGTGCCCTTGTCTGCTGGATGCCTCCTTGTGATGGTGGCATGCCAGGTCATCCCCACGCTCCTCCCAGAGAGAGAGGCTGCTGGGCCAGGAGGCAGGGGGTTCCCAGGCAGGCTGAGGCCGGGGACAGCTTTGCAGAGGAGGCCATGTTGATATCCTAGGCTCAAGGGGGACCCTTCTGCAGATCCCCGGCTTCCCTGCAGTTATGCCCCCCAACCCCTGGGCCTCCTGACGAAATCAGCCTTCCAGGGAAAATGCCACGGGGGGGGGCACTACGCCAAAGGCCAGGACTCTCCCCTCCATCCCTCGCTCTGTGACCCTGGGAAGGACCCCACAGAGGGGTGTTTCTCTTAGATCAACCAAGGATATTGTTAAAATGAAGATTCTGGGGGTGCCTGGGTGGCTCAGTGGGTTGGGCCTCTGCCTTTGGCTCAGGTCATGTCTCAGTCAGGGTCCTGGGATCAAGCCCCATATTGGGCTCTCTGCTCAGCGGGGAGCCTGCTTCCGTCTCTCTCTGCCTGCCTCTCTGCCTACTTGTGATCTCTCTGTCAAGAAAATTTTAAAAAGGGGAAAAATGAAGATTCTCTATCCGTGGGTCCAGGATGAGGCTGGAGCCCATGTTTCTACAAGCTCCTGGGTGATGCTCATACTGCTGGGTCCCTGGAGTTCACACTGAGTTGAGGGCTGTAACCCACCCCCCAAGTCTACCACCCTGATCCAAGCCACCTTACTTTCCCACTCCCCTCCCCCATGAGGGGCCTCTGCCCCCATTCTCCCCACACAGCCTAAGGGATTCCTTCTAGACACATTCCAATCATTTCCTGTTAGCAGTCCCCCACCCCCACATGACTGCCCCTTGTTCTGAGGACAAAGATCTGAATCCTTAAAATGATCCATTCAGCCCAGCTTGCCAGGCTCCATCCACCTCTCCAGCCTCACCGCCCAGCAAGCTGCCCCTCACTGTCTAGGCTCGAGCCCCACTGGCCTGCCTTCGATCCTTCAACATACCCCAGGGCCTTTGCACTTGCCAGCTCCTCATCTGCCTGGAATGCTCTTTCCAAGTTCTTCATTGTGGCTTGCTCTGTCATCCAAGCCTCCATTCAAAAGCCATCCCAACAGGGGCGTCCTTATGCCCAGATCTCAGTGCCACACATGTGCACACATGCACACACACGTGTCCATACACACATACACCAACAGTCTCACCAGCCCCCTGGAATGCCAACTAGGGAAAGGAAAAGATCCATATCTCGAGGAATGCAGGCAGGACAGCTTCCACAGCTTGCCGGGCTTGCCCTCTCTTGGCCTAGGAGGGAGCCAGCTGGGACAGGACCGTAACCTATGCAGGCAACTTTAATACAGCCAAAGGCTGCAGAGCCCCCACACCTGTCCTGTATCAACAGCCTAAATTTCCCTTTAGCAAAAGGTAGTCTTTAACCCCCCACTTAAACAATAAGGCTCAAAAAAGCAATGACCCTGGGAGAAGGAATGCAATGACTTAAATTCATACTTTAAAAGGGTGGGTTTTCTGCAGCTCCGCCTAGCGGGCCCTGAAGTTCCGCCAGCGACCAGCAGGTGGCGCTGTCACCGCAAAGAGAGGGAAATAACCCAGCTTCCGAGAGCCCAGGGCTGAGACAAAGTTGCCCAGCCTAGCCCCTGCAGCCTGAGGGTCCCTGATGACTTCTCCTGGCTCATCAGAAACCGATCTCTTTCTGGTGTCTCCCCCCATCCCTCCACACGTGACTCTCTCTGGAAAGAGCAGCAGAAAGCACCAGCTCCAGGCCTAGGACTCTCGAACTCCCCACGTTTCTCTTGAATGATGAGTTATGGGGGGGCGGGGGAGGGAGGGGCCGGGGAGCACTAAATGGGTGGGTGTCCAAAGCCCAGGGATCTAGACCAAGTTTTAATACCAACCAGCTTGTGTGCACTTGACAAATAATTTATCAGGGCCTCCCTCTCTGTATTCATTCACTCATTCATTAAATGTTTATTGAACATCTATAATCCAGACACCATTCTAGGCACTGGGACTATAGCCATGAAGAAAACAAACTCCCTGACCTCAGGAAGCTGATGTCTGTAAAACAGAACTCCTACTACATGTTCTAGAAGCTCAAGGAACCAATCAGAATAACAGAAAATACTTTGACAACTGGGGGGAGTGTCTTTTTTCTGCCACCACACCAAATGCCGAGGGTTGGCATGCCGCAAACACAGAGACAATGCCCCGAGGGCCAGGTGGTCCCTCTGGTGTGCATCTGCTGTGGGAGCCCAGGTCCCCTGGCCTTGCTGCCGTCCTACCCAGCTCCACCTGGCTGAGAAGGAAGTGGGCAGGGAAGCCCATTCCTTAGCAATGCCCCAGCTCCCCTGTACTCACCATTCACCTCACAGCCAAGGAGCTCAAAGCGGAGGGTGCAGCCCCGGTGACAGATGATGGGGACCAGCCTCACATACTGCACCTCCAGAGGAAAGTCAAACAGGTTGACTTTCAGGCCACTGTTGTCCATGTTGCCCACAAATATCTAGGAGGAAAACAGATTGGAGCATGGGTCAGCATGGGCAGTCTACCTTCCTGGGGTCACCTCACCTCCCTCATCAGGCCTGGGAGGCAGAGATGGGGTTTAGCAGAGCCAGCAGGGGGTCAGTTCTTCCTCTGGCCACCCCTCTTCACATCTTTCTTGGTCATCATAGGGGATGGGCATGAACCCCTATCTTGCACACATGCCTACCTATCACCTATAGGGTGCCACTGCAAATTAGGAAAAGACACTCCTCTCCTGAGACACTTTATTATACTAATTTCCCCATAGGCAAAAGTACACAAACCCATGATGTCTACACTGTGAATGGTGCTCACTTAGAAATGACATCCTTAAGCAGTGTACAACCTGCACAGCTGTACATGGTAGCCCTGAAAGCTCAAAATGCCTCCCACCTCCACCACTACAGCCACCCTCAACAGGTCACTGAACCTTTCTGAGTCCATTATCCTCATCTATAAAGTAAGAGCTATCACCTGTAACTACAGAACATGGGCATAATGTAGGTTTCCCAATTTCTGGGAACCAAGAGGCAACTGATGACCCACCACATGGCTAATGGTCCAGCATACCCTCCCCCTCCACTGGGAGCCCTCAAATAGCTCTAGGGCCCCGGAAGATGAGGACCACAGCCCTTCTTTAGAGCCCTCACCTTGTCTCCTGTCCCCTCCGCACCCTGGATAAATTGGAACTTGTGTCCATTGGTGCTGTAGGCCACCTTGAAGGTCTTCAGGTACTCGGCACTGCCTGCGCGGCTGGCGCCCTGTGTCACCACGCCCATCACCCGCATCTTCCGCATCAGGTTCACCTGGACCCCAGGAGGGAGGACAGTACCCTTATCTCCTGGGTTCTTTTAGATCTTCTCCACTCCCCCTGCCCAGAAACAAGGAGGGGCTTTCCCATCGGGCCTCTCAGAGCTTTGGGCCCAGTGCTCAAGAACGCACACAAAGAAGGACAAGGACCCCAAAGGCTGCATCCAGGGCAAACAAATCCTCTGCAGCCTGGGGGTCTGCTCCCCATCCGCCCCCCCACTCCAGTCCCCCGCAATACTGCTCCGCACTTACAGACACTTCACTTGTGGGAACCCACAACCTTGCTACCTGGACCTCAGTTGTGACCCCTCAAATGCAGGCAGACTCTCTCCCATCACTCCACCGCCTCCCTTCCCCACCCCCCGAGACATTCTTTCCATACCTGGATCCAGGGGTTCTTGTCATAGTTGCTGGCTGTCCAGGCATTGACGATGCCCGTGCGGTGCAAACGGGCCAGCTCTGGGGCCCAGCGCTGTAGACCCATGAAGCCCAAGTGCACAGAGGAGGCAGAGATCTGCGAGTCGGCAATGGCACCCGTCTCCATGCCCAGCGGCATGGTGCAGACTGCAGGGGGGAGGGGGAGAGGGGGGAGGTGGCAGTCAAGTGGCCACCCAAGCACATGGGCCCCAGACGACTGGAAAATCACAGCGTGGCCTCTGCTGAGACCCAGGGCAGAGATCAGGAAAGGACTCTCAGGGTCCAAGAAAAGGTGCATGGTAAGGAAGAGGTGGGGAGAGAGAGACCAGGGGAGTTGGGACCCAGGGCTGCCTGAAGGTTCCAGGCCAGGCCGGCACCTGTGCCATCACTGGGACGGGCAGCCAGGGACCAGACTGGTGGGAGGGAATTCCAGTGGGACCCACTCTTCTTCAGTGTCCCCAGCCCACCAGGAGGACCAACGTGTCCAGCCCCACCCCTGGCGTCCCCAGAACAGCTTTGGCAAGAGGGACACCCCAGTTGGCAGTGAACAGTACTTGTACTAGACATGAAGGAGTAGGCAGATCCTGGGGCGCCTCAGGGGCTCAGTCAGTTAAGCGTCTGCCTTTAGCTCCGGTCATGAGCTCACAGTCCTCCGGGATCGAGCCCACACCAGTCAGATTCCCTGCTCTACGAGGGTCTGCTTCTCCCTCTCCCTCTGGAGGGGCTGCAATGGTCCCTCCGGGGGCTCCCCCACCTTTGTGGCTGCCTCCTGCCTTCTGCATCCAACCTGTGGCAGACCCCAGGCCACAGAGCTGAAGGCTGGGCGGGTTAATTCCAACTCCGGCACACCCAGGGTAACCTTGGCTCCCCGCACAGTAATTAGTGGACACACCTGGCCCCACCCAGGGCTGTCTGCCTTAGGGACCCCCCAACCACAGACACGCACACACACACACACACAGACATGCACACATTCCTCCACCCAGTGTCTCCAAAAGACACTGGCCTTAGCCCCGAGCCCAAGGGACAGGCCCTCCCTGCCACCTCCTTGGAGGTGCTCTCCCCCAGGCCCCAGCACCCACCCAGCTGGCCCACAACCCCCCCTTCTCAGATCAGCCTCAGAGAGCAGCCCCACATCGGCGGGAAGGGGAACCGCCTGCCCGTGGCCCAAGATGCTTGGCGGCAGACCCACTGGCCGGAAGAACCCAGACCCCCCGAAGATGCAGACTCAGCCGCCTGCCCGCCCGCCTGTAGCAGGCAAGGACAAGTCCCAGCTTGGGGGGAAGGGACTCCAGCTGAGCCAGGAGGGAGGACAGCGTGGACAGCCACCGCCAGCACTGGAGGCTGGGCACACACCCAGGGCCATTCTGTGGCTGAGTGGATAACCAGGCAGGCCGGGCCGGTCAGCCCCTCTGCACACGCCGGGCCTCTGACCGCCTGACCGTTAGGGGACGGCCCAGCCTGCCCAGGCCTCTCCCTCCTCCCTGAGCTCTGTGATGAGGCCGCGGTCAAACTTGGGCCAGGAACCGTCAGACTCCAAGGCCCCCAGCCTTACTTGCTGATCTCCTGGGCCCTAGGATTAAGAATGTATTTGTTTCCCCCTCTTGGGAGAAAACTCTCAGGACTTAATCCTAACACTGTGGGTCTGGTTCGTGATGACCCAGGCAGCAGCACTCCCAGGACCTCTGGGGCCACCACCACCCTTCTGTCCACTGCAGCGACATCAGGCCTGGCCTGCAGCCTGAGGACAAAAGGCCAAGCAGAAATTAGTCCAGGACAACAGAAGCGCGAACTGAGGCTCTACCTTCCCCTCAATCCACCAGAGGAAACCTTAAGGCAGGGAATGAGGCCAGCATGTGGCCTGGGCTGCTCCGGGCCTCCCCCATCACAGCAGCCTCCCCCAGATACTCACTGGTCTCACAGTGGACACCCGTATAGCCATGATGACACATGCAGACGTACTGAGTGAAGACGTCCCCTCTGTGCGAGTCGTCAACCACCCGGCATTCGGCTTCATTGCGGCAGGGGTTTGGAAAACAAGGACCTAGGGATGGAGAGGCAGGTAAGGCAGGCAGGGGATCAGGAAGGAGCCAGGGATGGAGAAGGGTAGCAGCAGATGCCCCAAAAGGACCCGCTGCACAGACTCAGCCCCCTGCCCGCCTCCCCCTGCCATCCTCTCCCCCTCTCCTCTGCCTGATGGGAAGTTGGGCCAGCCTGGCACCAAGAAGGGTCAGGTGTGGGTGAATCAGTTCCAGGGAGGGAAGCACCCAGCTTGCCAAGTGGCACGGGGAGTTTCCAGGGAAATGCTGGCTGAGCACAGGAGAAGTGCTGGGGACCTCCACCCACTAGGGGACAAAGCAGGGCCAGCAGCAGGGGCTGCAGCTGGGAGCTGGGGCCGAAGCGGGGTGGGGGGGCGCAGGTACCTTTCTCCGTCTCATTGCAGATCAGGCCCGTGAAGCCTTCGGGGCAGAGGCAGTAGAAGGGGGTGTTGTCCTGGCCCAATATGCAGGTCCCACCGTTCAGGCACTGGCTAGAGTCACAGAAGTCACCTGCAAAGTCACCAGCTCCGACTCAAGAATAGCAAGTCATTCATTGTAAATACTGGGGGCGGGGGGGGGCCTACCATGCACATGCTGGGTCGCTGAAACAGGGGAACCAGGTGTGGTCTAGGCCTCAAGAAGCCACTGGAAAGAGGGGGACAGTCACTGGGTGGTGAAGAGGCATCACCAGCTCTGACAGAAGCCTGCATGAAGGGCCACTGGGGGTGGGCTTCTGCCAGGGTTGGAAGTGTCACAGAGGGGACAGGGGAGCTGGGTCTAAGAGGTGGAGTGGAGTGTGCCCAAACAGGGCGGAAAGAATGTTCTAAAGAAGGAGAGGAGTACAGGACCACGGTACGCTGTGGAGAAGGATGACAGAGCAGAAAGGTAGGTAGGGGCCAGACCTGCCGGGACCTTAGGAATGACAAGCTCAGACTTCCCGTCCAACAGACTGGGAGCCCTTAACCTTCCTTCAGCAGCCCACCGTCGTCCCCGGAGGGAAAAGGAAAAAAAATGGGGGGGACTTCCCAAGAGGGAGGTGGGAGTGAGGAAGCCATTTCCCATTCTGGGAAGGTGAATATGGAGAAAAGGCCATCTGCAGAGCTGTGTAGGCTCCCCTGGGGCAGGGAGGTGTCCTGGGGCCACACCAAGCTCTCTCTGGCTCCAGGGTGGAAATGGAACTGGAGTGGCTGGGGTGAGAGGCTGCCACAGGTCTCCTGATGAGAGAGGAATTTAGGTGAAAAGGTGAGGGAGAAGGCAGATTTGAGAAACACGGCAGAGGGAGGAGGAGGGTTGGAGAGGACCACAGGGCTTCTGGCCCCAGGGCCTGGGGGGCAGATGGGAACTGTCTGTGCAGCCCACCAGGCCAGCCAGGCGGGTGGGGGCTCTCCTAGCTGACCCTCGCACCCCAGCAGGGCCTACCCCGCCACGTAGGGTAGGACATGAGAAATCGCTTTTCCTCCCCCTAGAATCATGCCATCCCAGGCTGGGGGTGGGGCTCCTGAAATCTCAAAGCTCCAGAGAGCGGGGCCCAGCTCCTGAGAAGGGAACAGAGGGAACAGGAACACCGTTAATGAGCACTGGAGCCCTCAGACTGCCACCTCGGCTGCGCCTGGGAGCTTAAGGCGGCTCCCAATGAGCTATTAGTCATTGGCTTTAAATAGCAGGTTAATCCCCTCCCCTGACCTGGCAGGCCAGGGCACTGCCACAGACAGAGCCTTGGGAATGGCCAGAGTCCTGGGCTCCTATCCCAACCAAATTCAACTCCTCTTCTCACCAACAAACCGCATCCCCCCATGCTGCTCCAGGGCAAAGCGGTCCACTGGGTAAAAAAGGAAAGTGAAAGGTGGCCCCTGCCCCCCACAGCCCAGGTCTTAGGCGGACTCACCTGCCCACAGCACCCATGGTACTTCCCCTTTCCGGGAAAAGCCCCATCACCCTCCACGAAACCATCTTGGAGGTTTCAGAGTCCTGCCTTGTGGGTGACTTCCCCAGGAACATTTAGCCAGGGCTCAGGTGGTGGGGACAGAGAGGAGCAGAAAGAGACTTCAAAGACCCAGCTAGGTCTCAGGGTCGCTGGACAGCCACCAGCTCCAAGTACCCAAGTGTGGCCGAGCTTGGAGGGCCCGGGAGGTTCTGGATCCAGGCGTGGGGGTCGGACTGTGGCAGGAAGGCAGGAAGGAGCGCCAGGGCTCCGCTTTGACCCCATCCCTATACCCACCCCCGGTTTTCTTTGAGAAAATGAGGAAGGGGGTGCCCGAAGCGCGCCGATCATGGGCACCTCTTCAAAGCCCTGGAGGCGACCAGCTGTGCGGGCCCCACGGTGAAATGGGGGCATCCCCAGGACCAGCCCGCCGAAGGCCCAGCTGTGCGCGGGAGGCCTCCTCGGCGGGGGAGGAGGAGCGAGGAAGATACAGCGGCACGCCAAGGCCGCGGGAGGGAGTCGGAAGCCACCACCAACCCGGGAGGCAGCCCTCTCCAAGTCCCTCCCCTGGTTCTTGGGCCCCCCTCCCGGGCCCCACCCGAAGTCCCGTCCCCTCCCTCCGCCTTCCCCGCCCGCGCTCATCCCACCAGACACCTACGAGCGGAGATGCAAAACTCCAATGAACACACGAGCCGCCGGCTAGCGAGGGAGCAGCCAGGGAAAGTTGGCTGGACAAGACTTAGCAAGACAAGAGCCCTAGAAACTTCAGGTGGAAGACGCGCCAGAGTGGGGCGCAGTTCAGTGGCCTCATTTTACAGATGGGAAAAGAGAGGCCCGACACAGCAGATTCCTTTGTTATGTGTAAGCCCCATCCCTGGGGGCCGTCGGGCTGTCACCCGGTGTCCCCAGTCCCCGCCCCACTCTCAAGCCTCTATCACTGCCCAGAACGCCCCAGCGCGGAGAGCGCCGGAGAGGCCGAGCGCATCCCCGCGTCTGGCCGGGGCGCAGCCAGAGCAGCCGCCCCTCCGCACGGGCCCGGCTCTTTGCCCAAGTTTGTAAACAGGGGTGGTGGAGGGAGGGCGCCGCGGCGAACTTCCCAGCGGCGCGGAGAGGAGGGGCGAGGGCCGGAGGGCGGCGCGATCGACTCACCGGAGGCGGCGAAGAGTCCCGAGGCGCAGAGGAGCGCGCCGCAGACCGCGGCCAGCAGGCGGGGGCCCGGCATGCCGTGGGGACGCGGGCGCAGGAGCGGGCGCTTCGGCCGTGCACACCGCGGGGCTCTCACCGCAGCTCCTGGACGGGAATAAATCAGGCAGCGCTGCGCCGCCCCCGGCCCGCCTGCTCCGCCCAGGCCCTCGGGAGGCGGACCCGGGGCGGGGCTCCGCGGCCAACCAGGGAAGGGGGGCACCGAGGGGTCCGCGCCCCCGCCTCCCTCAGCGGCCACGCCCGGCGCCCCGCGGGGAGCGGGGGACCAGGCCCAGCAGTGAGTCCTCTGGACCGCGAAGGGCTCCGGAGGAACTGTTTGGTGTTTCGTGGTTTTTTTTTTTAATTTTAGACTTAAGATGCTTTGCCCTTATCCCTAATGAGAAAAATGCAAATTTAAAGTACAGTGAGCGCCAGGTTTCACTTAATCAGATTGGCAAGTGTCGAATGATTAGCGCACTGTTCGTGTGAGGCTGAGGGGAGCGGGCCCAAGCATGCATCGTCGGAGGGAGTCTAAATTGGTTCGGCTTCTCCGGAGAGCGGCTTGGTAAAGCCACCAAAGAGACCCAGACCGAGACCGTAAGCCCTAGCCATTGCACTCACAGCATTCCTTCCATCTGAACTCACTATGTAAAATGGCATGTATGTAAAGATGTCCTAGCATATCATAGCAGCATCCTTGGAAAAGATAAGACTAAAAAGGGAATCAGCAAACTTCTTCTAATAAAGGATCAGATAGAAAATATTTTAGGATTAGCCGGCCTTCACCTCTGCCCCCGGGCGGGAGAGCAGCTACAGACAGTCTCCTAGGAAATGAGCACGGTGGTGGCCTAAGGGGAAGGAAACCAGGGGGCCAGGGCGGGAAGAGACTCGCTGGTCACACTGACTTTTATCTAAATGACTCTTTTTTAGATCCTATCTCTCTCTCTCAAATAAATCTTTGAAGCAAAAAAAAAAAAAAAGAATAATTTCATTTATAATAGACAATAGCATCAGTAAGAATAAAATACGTGGGAATAAATTTAACTAAAGTGCAAGACCTGTACACTGAACACTACAAAACACCATTGAAAGAAATTAAAGACCTAAATAAATGCAAAGTCATCCTTGTTCCCGGATTGGAAGACTTACCTTGTTAAGACGGCAATAATCCCCAAACTGATAAAAGTTCAACACCATCCCTATCAAAATTTCAGCTGTCCTTTTTCAGAAGTTAACGAGCTGACCCTAGAATTAATATGGAAATGGATGGAACCCAGAATATCCAAAGCAATCTTGTGGGAAAGAAAAATGTTGGAAGACTAATATTTTCCAATTTCAAGACATACTACAGAGACGCATTAAGCAAGACCGTGTGGTCCTGGCATAAGGATAGACATAAGGATAAATGGAATAGAATTAAGAATCTAAGAGTAGATCGATACATCCGCGGTCAGTTGATTTTCAACAAAAGTGCAAGACAATTCAGTGGGGAAAGAGCAGTTTTTTCCCAACAAATTATGCCAGAACAACCGGATAACCACAAAAGAATAAAGTTGGACTTCCAGATCACACTTTACATAAAAATTAACTCAAAATAGATCAAAGACCTAAATATAAGAGCGCCAAATACAAAACAACCAAAGCAAAGAGTAGATTAGTTGAACTGTATCAAAACTTACAATGTTTCTACTTCCAAGGACACTATCAAAAAGGCAGGAAGTGGGGTGCCTGGGTGGCTCAGTGGGTTAAAGCCTCTGCCTTGGGCTCAGGTCATGATCTCAGGGTCCTGGGATGGAGCCCCGAGTCGGGCTCTCTGCTCGGTGGGAAGTCTGCTTCCCCCTGCCTCTCTGCCTGCTTGTGATCTCTCTCTCTCTCTCTGTCAAATAAATAAATGAATAAATAAAATCTTTTAAAAAAGGCAAGACCACCCACAAAATGAGAGGCAATATTTGCAGATCACATGTCTGATAAGGGTCTCATATCCAAATTATCAGAATATTAACTCATAACAAAGGATACCCCAATTTTAAAATGGGCAAAGAATCTGGGTAGATTTTTCTCCAGAGAAGATATACAAACGGCCAATAAGCACATGAAAAGATGCTTAACGTTATTAGTCATCAGGAAAATGGAAATCAAAATCAAAACCACATGAGATACCGCTTCACACACCCACTAGGATGACGATATTCAAGAAAACATCATAACAATGTTAGTGAGGATGTAGAGAAAGTGGAACCTTCACACATTACTGATGGGGTTGTAAAATGGTGCAGACACTGAAAACCAATTTGGTAGCTCCTCAAAAGATTAAGCAGAGCTATCCTATGACCCAGCAATTCTACTCCTAAATATATACCCAAGAAAATTAAAAGCATATGTTCATACAAAAGCTTACACGTGAATGATCATAACAGCTTTAATAGCCGGCAAGCGGAAACCGCCCAAATGTCCATCAGCTGATGGGTGGGTAAGCCAAGTAGTCTATCCATCCAGTGGACAATTATTCACCCGTAAAAATAAATGAAGATTTAATGCTTGCTGCAAAATGACTGAACCTTGAAAACACGATGCTTAGTGAAAGAAGCCAGATACACAAGGCCATGATTCCGTGTATATGGAATGTCCAGAATAGACAAGTCTATTATGACAGTAAGTTGATGAGTGGCTGCCAGGGGCTGGGGTGAGGGCAGAATGAGAAGTCATGGTTCATGGGTGTGGGATTTCTTCTGGGAGATGATGAAGACGTCCTGAAATCTAATAGTGACGATGGTTCCCTAACTTTATAAGCATGTTTAAAACCACCGAACTTCACATTCCAAAGGATGAATTTTCTGTTGTGTGAATTATATCTCGATAAAAAAGGAATACGACTCTTCAGAAACCTGTCTCAAATCAGTAAGTCACTCAATAAGCATTTAGTGAGCACTGACTGTCGTGAGCATTGGCTGGAAGCCCTCGCTGCACATTAGTGTCACTTGGGAAGATTTTTGTAAAAATACAGGTGACCAGGATGCATTCCAAAGCAAATAAATTTCAATCCCTGTAGATTCTAGGAATGAGTATTTTTTTTAAAGCTCCCCAGATGAGGCCAGTGTGTAACTAATAAGAGAACCATTGGCTAAACTCACTGAGAGCAAAGACCAAAGACCTAGGCCTTGGGACCACAAGGGACAAGGAGGGGAGGGATTTTAACAGGTGAAGGCAGGATAGAGAAGGAGGGGATTTTCTTGTATGATCTGACCCTTGTAGAGTTCAGTGGGTTAGTAGTTCCTTGGTCTGAATACTTTTCTTACCCAGCATTACAGCATCCCAGTGTTAGAGATTTGGTTGGATTTTCTAACGAGTGTCATCCCAGGATCACCTGAAACAGGGAGTCCACTTAAGAGCTTTAGATTTTGTTCATGTATATGATAGGAAACCAGGTATGCTTTTACTTTTCAATTAGTCCTACCCCTACACAATCAGAGAAACGTAACAGAAGTTCCATTACATTGACAAAACTCAAAGCCGATGGGGCTGGGGGGAGGGAAATAAACATTTATACCTAATTGGTAGAACTACCAGTTGATTCAGTGTCTGGATCACAGTCCTACTGTAGCGAGACCTACAGAACTTGACCTTGTATTCTGCTTTGGACAAATTCACTGGAATGAAATTACCCAAATAAAAAGCCAAGGTACAAAGATGCACACGGTACCACTGTTTATGGTTCTGAAAAACTGACTAACGGTCCAAAATGCCCAGAGGTAAAGAGCTAAACAAACATGCTAAGACACAGCCCAGTGCAGTGTTAACAAGTGAAAAGGATGAGTAAGTTTGCAGGTGAAAGGGTGTACCTTGGCGGAGCAGAAGGCCTGTCCACAGCTCCCGTCTGTACTCCCCCACAGCACACCTCAGTAAAAAGTGCCTCACACAGACATGTGTCTGCACAGAAACAACACTCGAAAGAGAACAGATCACAGACAGACAAGAAACATGTAATCCCATGATGCCGCTTATACGAGGTCCCCAAAGTAGTCAAATTCATGGAGGGGCACTGGGCTGGCTCTGTCTGAAGAGCATGTGACTCTTGATCTTGGGGTTGCAAATTTGAGCCCCACGTTGGATGGACAGATAATTAAAAATAAAATCTTGAAAAAAAAAAATCTAGTCCTATTAGAAAGAAAAAGTGGAATGCTGGTTGCCAGGGGCTGGGAGAAGGATAAGGGGAGCTTCTCTTTAAGGGGGGCATGATTCAGTTCTGCAAGGTGAAAAGTTTTGGAGATGCTGCTCCGCCAGGGCACAAACATAATGAGCCCTGCTGAACTGTATATTTACGATGATTTAGGTGGCAAATTGTATTTGCATTTTTTTACCATGATAAAAAAAATCAATTTTAAAAGAGTGAGAGAGGGGGGCGCCTGACTGGCCCAGTCAGTGGAGTGTGTGATTCTGGATCTTGGGGTCATGAGTTTAAGCCCTAGGTTGGGGGATAGAGTTTACTAAATAAGTAAATAATAAATTTATTTTTATTATTTTATTCCACCAACCCTGAGCCAAGCACCATTCCAGGCCTTATATAGGTAAGAAAACAAGATCATAATATGATGTGACATGTCAAGTAGACCTCAATTAATGTTTTTAAGTTTATTTATTTAGGGGCACCTGGGTGGCTCAGTGGGTTAAGCCTCTGCCTTGGGCTCAGGTCATGATCTCAGGGTCCTGGGATCGAGCCCCGCATCAGCACAGCAGGGAGCCTGGTTCCTCCTCTCTCTCTCTCTCTCTCTCTCTCTCTCTCTGCCCACCTCTCTGCCTACTTGTGATCTCTCTGTGTCAAATGAATAAATAAAAATTTTTTAAAAAGTTTATTTATTTAAGTAATCTGTATACCCAACGTGGGGCGCAAACTCAACAACCCTGAGATCAAGAGTCACACACTCTCCTGCCTGAACCAGCTAAGCGCCCCGAGTATACCTCAACTTAAAAAAAAAAGAAGAAGAGGAAGAGAAGTTATTTCAGGTGCTAGCAAGGGCTCCACAGATGACAGGACAGGACTGTGTGACAAAACACCGAGGGGAGAAGGGAGACCAGTTTAGGCAGGTGACTAGCAAAGCCTTGTCTGAAAAGGTGACA